GACAACAGACAGAACGCTGCGAAGTCTGATCACAAACAAACAAAGTTCAGGTTTCTGATGAAATTGATCGTCATTCATTTTTGATTCTTTACACACGGCAGATAATAAACAAATAAATCTATTGATTTTTGTTGTGTAAATAAAACACTATTAAACGCCACGAAGACAAATGTTTCCTGTAAACTTTGCTTATATTTTTTTTTACACATTTGAGCCTTAAATACTTTTACGCTTGAATATTTTCTATCATTATTTTGGAAATTTTCTGTGTTTGTATCTTATTGTGAAGGTTTGTATTTAACAAAGTTTCCCATCATCACTGTTAAATACATTTAATGATCTGTGATCAGCGATCTCTAATTGTTACTGAGATTCTCTTTTGTGTGCGAGCTGTTGCTGATGAGGTCACAGGTCCGATGTGATGTCATCATGTTTGTGACACCGCAGGAGTATTAACGGAACAATAACATCCTTTTAAATAGCTGAAAATGATCTCTCTCTACATTCCTATTAGATGTTTAATCGTCCATCACATCACAGGTCATTTAGCTGACGCTTTTATCCAAAGCGACTTACATTACACTTTTAACTCGTGGCTTTTTACATTTTGCCGGGGGAGTAATTAGGAGTTCGGCGTCTTGCTCAGGGACACTTCGACACGGGACATGGAGCAGCCGGGGCTCGAACCACCAACCTTGTGGTTCCCGGCGCACCCTCTACTCCTGCACCACGTCGACCCACCTCTCGCGCCGGTCAGCTGGTCCCTCTCCGAACAACGTGATTGGCTCCCCCAGCGCCCGGAGGCCGGCCTTGACCTCGGCGTCGTCCGTGGAGACGGTGATCTGACGGGCGCGGCGCCGCTGCTCGAAGGCGGCGAGCGCGTCCTGCTGCCGCTCGCTGACGCGCTCCTCCATCTCCAGGGTCTCTCCTGCACGGCATCATGGGAAACAAGGCGTCACTCACGCGTCACACGCACTGCAAGCCGTGGTCTGGGACGGCGAGACGCACCTGACGAGATGTTGATGTTTCCCGCCTTGATCCCGGCCTTCACGCCATCGCCGCTCCTCCCCTCGGAGCTGAGGCGCTCCCGCTCCTTCTCCTCCAGACTCCCGTAGTAGACGCGAGTCCGCTTGGAGGCCGGAGCAGAGTCCTCCTCGTCCGACATCTTGATTCACTTCTTCTCCTCCTGCTCTCGGCCCCTAAAGAACGAAAGACCCGAGAAAACTCTGCAAAAAGTTAAATAAAATCCCCAAATACGTTAAGAAATGAGACAATACATTTTTTTTAAGTGACGCGTTAAAACATACAAATATAAAACTGCAATAGGTCATTTTAAAAAGGTGTCGCATATGTCATTAATAATAAAAACATTTTTGAGAATAGACACTGAAACGGTTTTTAAATTTACTGAACAGAAGATATTTCTTTTAGTGCTTCACAGGAAACATAGAAAGTATTCACAGCGCTTCACTAACCCTGACCCCTTAATAACGAAATAAAGACACCGTGATCGTAAAATAACTACAGTGCTTTATATGAAAAACAGGTTAAACACATGTGTTTATTTATTTAGAACGTTGCTACATTTCAACAAGTTCTTTGCAGATCATTTTATCTTTACTTCTCCTCAAAGTTAAGAAGTTGTCCATCATCAGTATTAATTCCTCACTCGATGAGTGAATAAATCAGAGACTCGTTTTCCTTCTGAACAACGAGCGGGTCGAAAAGTCAAACAAAGTCTAAAATGAGTCAAATCGGTGGTGAGAAGAGAAAAAGCACAACGCGGTTCACACGGCTAGCGTTAGCATTAGCATTAGCATTAGCGCTCACAACAAGCAGTGAAACGGGTGCGTCACGCATCACGTGAGCCTGGCCTGAGTCGAAAGGCGCTACGTTCGACTGAGAGAACTAAGAACATTACATTTATAAAGACGAATTAACATCATTTAAAAAAACGTACCTAAGAGAATCGAAGCGACGGCGTCTTTAAGCAATGTGACCCGGATGTAAACACGTGATCTGCTTCTGGGGTCAAAGGTAGTTCTTCCGGTTGACAAAGCTGCAGCCAACAGATGCGAGAGGAGGTAAAATCCCCGGAGCATATTTTAACGACACACCTGTCAGGTAACTACACGCGTTGAAGCGTGACCGTGAGTGAGCAACCGTGTCTGTTTCCAGCTATATGAAATGTTTTTAAACGTTCGAAAGGACCGTAGCTGGTTAGCTTAGCTTCTGTTTACCATCAGACTGAGTGTCCTGAGGGCTATTGCACAAAACCAGGATAAGGGATTAAGTCTGGATATTAAAGTCATCCTTGATGAATTTAGCTTTGACTTGGTTGCACGAAAGCAGTTTGAATTAAACCCAGACAGGAAACCTTGGTGATTTATTCTTGGCAGCTAGCCTGCTCCAGATCAGGCTAACGGCCGGGCTAACGGCTAAGATGAATCCTGGAGTCTCATGTGATAAATCTGCTGCCGCTCTGACCCACGTGTTGGATGAAGAAGCAGTGATATTGGAGCATCTCACCATCCCACAGATGTCTGTTTGGCACTGAGCTTGTTTTCTAAGCCAGGCTGTTAATAAAAGCACTATTTGTCGTACTGTCAGTGTGTGTTTGCCACTGAAGTCCTTGGCTCACATCTTTATTACCTTCATGGACACAGAAGAATGTGTCACATTAAAGAGGATTTCCACACATTCCGTACCTGGTGATAGTGTTTGATGCACTGGAGAATGTAGCATGTATGAAGAGGTGGAGCAGTATGTGTCCCACCCTGAATCCGGTTCTGCTACAGAACTTAAACAGATAAAACCACAACCCATTTTCCATCTCCATGCGTCACAGGACACACACACACACACACACACACACGTTGTTCCCATTGATCAGGTAGACTGCAGTGTCTCCCCTATGGGGGTCGGTAGGTAGTCGGGCAAACGGTTTGGCCAGACGGGGGAATAGTAGTAAATGGGCTGTAGTTGTGTAGCGCTTTTCTAGTCTTCCGACCACTCAAAGCGCTTTAACACTACATGACATCATTCATCCATTCACACACTGACAGGAGAACCACACACAGAGACACCTGCCCATCAGTCACTAACATTCACACAGCTGCAGGACCCGTGTGGCTTAAGTGTCTTGCCCAAGGACACATGGACATGCGGGTCCCCCGGGCCTGGGATCGAACCACCAACCCTCTGATTGGACGACCGTGTTTCCCCCTTTTTCTATGTTATCTCCAAATATCTTCATTAAGTTCACCCTCCATGTGACAAAAACAATCATCCCAACAAAGTTTTTTTTAAATGATTTATTTTTACAAATAATGTCACGTATCTGCGCTGCGCCTTAAAGTCTCTGAACATATTCATAGATATTGTTTGTAAACATCGATCATATATCAGCTACGGTTTAAGGCCACACACACTTTCAAAAAGCTTTTTTTGGTTTGTTCGTGAAGGTTCCTCCGAGTAAAATCAGAAGATGTTGAGGAGGAAACCGACTCGTCTGGAGCTGAAGATCGACGACACCGAAGAGTTCGAGAGCGTCAAGAAAGAGCTTGAGGTTTAAATCCCTTCTGTAGAGCCCAATCGATACCATCACGTTAACCGTGACTCACATGAGTCAGTACTGTCGATGCTTAGTATCAAATTGATTATTTAGAAAATGAATAAAGTAGTCACATCAAGAACGACTTTATCCAGTAACCAGTATCCAGAGAGGACTGACTGATCCTAATAATTGTTCGTCTAAAGGTTTAAGTTTTCATGATGACATTTAATTCATTTCATTTTCAATTCGCTGATGAGAAACCTCATGATAGTCTGAGTTTCTGCTTTTATTATTTAAGTCTTTTTGTTTTCATTACAGGCCAGGAAGCGTCAACGTGAGGAGGCGGAGTCAGGAGGTGGAGTGGGCGGGGCTTCTGTCATCAGTGTTGACATAATCGGGGGCGGGGCTTCAACATCTTCAACAGCCGCTTCGAGGGCGGAGCTTATAAATGAGCGAATAGGTTACAAGCCCCACCCCAAACCGGCCACGCTGCCGACCTTATTTGGAAGTTTACAGTTTTAATAAATTACAATAAAAATGCTTAATCAGAATAATCGTTGTCACTGGTTTTGTCAACGTCTTATTCCGAACACCGATCCATCGAGTTAATAGTGACACTTAAGTTCATCACATTACATATTCGTGTATATGTATTAAATGTCTGTTATAAAAAGTTCTTACTTGATAATTAAATACTGTATTTAAAATAATTTCGTTGAAATAAGAATGTTCTAACGACATAACATGCATATAGAAATGACATCAGGAGAGTTTGTATGATTTGTTTTATTTTCATAATAAATGCTATATTTTTCATAAAGAAACTTATAAAAGACAAAGATGGTTAGTGTTTGAACACGGCAAAAAATTCAAAGAAAAACAAATTTATTTACATTAACAGTAGGCGGAGCTCTGACATCACTAACATTTAAGCCCTCACACGGTCCAGAGTTATTCTGACCAATCAGGACTCACGATTAATTACAGAACGTCTTTTCAGTTTCCATGACAACCAGGAAACCAACAGAGTAAGTGCAGATGATTTTATATAGAATTGTTTTGGAAACGATTCCATCAGACAAATGTTAACTTTGGTTTAGAAACAATAAAAATCAACAAAATATTTGGAGTCTGATTGGTCCAAAAAAATCCTAAAAAACAAATTGGTCGGAGTGGGCGTGGTCTGCGCGATGATTCACAGCTGTTATTTTGAAAATAACGGTCAGTTCTTCCTCAGATTCCAACTGTTGTAAACTTTGGGGAAACACTGGATTCACCTCAGTTTGTTATTTAGTTTTTTCTGACATTTGAGCCGTCAGAGAATCTAAGAGTTGTTAAAATCATAAAAACATAATAAATTAAACTGTAAAAAACAAACTATTTAGTGTTAACAGCTGATTTTTCCTCAGCAGTGGAAAGGGTTTTAGAGTCCAAGCCGTTGCCCTGGTTACGGTAGTGACGGGTGACGGGACAGATTTCCACTCTTTCTCTTTCACAAGTTAAAGCGGACAGGAAACCAGAGGGGTCTTTCAAAATAAAACGATAGATTAGTTAAGTTGATGTGAGATTGATACAGACAAAGACCTTTAATCTGGTTTCATTTATAAGTAATTCCACTTCCTCTCTTTTGTTCCGTCTTGATTGAGGCGGTTTGATTTGAAGTTGTTGTCGTTGAGCTCCGGAAGACGAGGAAGCGGAAGACAAGAAGTAACCTCAGGGAACATCATCACCGAGAGGTCATGTGACTGAGGCTGACAGCCTAGCTAGCATGACTGCTAGCGTGCTAATCAAATGTAGTTTAGGACTTGAGCAGCTCTTCCAAAAAATTTTTCTTTTTCTCAAAATGTGTTGATGCACAGAAGAAAATGTAACTGAACATGTTGTACCATGCTAACAATGTGCTAACATGCTAACAACCTGCGGCTACAGCACATGCTAAGCTCTATCTGATTTACCGACAGGGTTTTTAAAAACGTTTTGCTCAACTGACAATTTGTAATACATTTATAGATGCTAACATAGCTAGCTACATCCGTGCTAACGTCATTCCGACCCATTAGTAGTGTTATCCCAGAAGTTTAATGAGCTCAAACACTCAGCAGCTAAATGTTTAATTTTTGGGTTTGTAGATGTTTGAGGACACCCACGTAGTGACCACACCCACATATTGACCACGCCCATCTCCCATCAATAATTAATTCAATTTGATGAGGACAAGTTGATGTCATCACCTGTTCTTGATGGCAGCACAATCGTGTGATGTCATCACATCTTCATGGCATTGAGGCTGTGTGACGATGTCATTGCTTATGGTTAACGGCGACAAGGTCGTTTGATGATGTCATCACTTCTTGATGGCGGCGAGGTCATTTGATGATGTCATCACTTCTTGATGGCGGCGAGGTCGTTTGATGATGTCATCACTTGATGGCGGCGAGGTCGTTTGATGATGTCATCACTTGATGGCGGCGAGGTCGTTTGATGATGTCATCACTTCTTTTCGATGGCGGCGAGTTCGTTTGATGATGTCATCACTTCTTCTTGATGGCGGCGAGTTCGTTTGATGATGTCATCACTTCTTCTTGATGGCGGCGAGTTCGTTTGATGATGTCATCACTTCTTCTTGATGGCGGCGAGTTCGTTTGATGATGTCATCACTTCTTCTTGATGGCGGCGAGTTCGTTTGATGATGTCATCACTTCTTCTTGATGGCGGCGAGGTCTCGCTGCAGATCGGAGAACTTTGGTCGTTCCTCAGGATTGTACTGCCAACAGCGTTGCATCACTTTGTACACGTCGTCAGGGCAACGCTGAGGACAGAGACATGTCATGCATCAGAAGACAAGACGACGCCACATAATTCCATTCTACTATAACTATCTGTAAGTGGTCATTTTATTTCTAACAATTAATAAAGTGTTTGATTGTTACGAGCTCTTTGTTTACCTTTCTCCACCTGCTCTCGGGCTTGCTGATTGGTCATCCCAGGATAAGGACACACCCCCAGACTGAAAGTCTCCCACAGCAGGATCCCATAACTCCACACGTCACTATCAGAGCTGTAACGACCTGCAACAGCCAATCACAGGGCAGGAGATATCAGCGACCAATCACAGGGCAGGAGACCAAATGTCAACGTCATGAATAAAGCAGTCTATTCATCTTTCGTTTTGGTCTGTCACCGTAGTTCAGGGCCTCTGGAGCCGTCCACTTGATGGGGATCTGTTTGAGTCCCGATGAGGAATAAATGCCGTCGTCCTCCTGACGACTCATCCCAAAGTCACTGATCTTCAACACGCTGCCTTCTCCCACCAGACAGTTCCTCGCTGCCAGGTCCCTGCCACAGGACAGGGGGACAGACGGGTGAGTGACCCTCTGCAGCCGGTGAGAGACCCTCTGCAGCAGGTAGACTCACCTGTGGATGCAGTTCTTGCTCTCTAGGTACGCCATGCCGGCAGCAGCGTCTACGGAGAAGCGAACCAGCTGCTTGGTCTTCAGCTCGTCCTTCTTCTTCCTCAGAAAGGACAGGAAGTCTCCACCTGGGGGAAAGTCACGCCATTAAAACCGACCAATAAAAACACTATGGGGGTAAAACAGAAAGGCACCGAAGCGTGACTAAGCTCCGCCCACCGGGAACCAGCTCCATGACGATGTAGATCGGCTGTCTCTGCGTGCAAACGCCAATCAGCTTCACGATGTTCGGGTGGTCGTACTGCTTCAGGATCCTGCAGCCAATCACAGAGCGGGAGAAATCACCGACCAATCACAGCATATCTATAATATATAATATATATGCGCCACGACGACCCCATAGATCTACTTCTATGTATTGATTGATGATATATTGAGTACTGATGGGTTCTCATAGGATGTGAAGAGAGGAAAGGGGGCAGAGCTATTTACGGGAAGATGACGGACACGCAAAGGAAGAAAGAAGCAACAGCTGACAGACGAGATCCAGCTGGTAGAAAGCGGCGCGCGACATGCGAGCGAGGCCCCTGGGGGTCAGAGGTCACTTATTGGGACGTGGGCGAGCGCTGTGGTGGCGTCGGGTCGTTAAGCGTGACGGTTGAGCTCGGAGGCACAGCGAGTGTTTGTTAAAGTAACCGATTCATTATGCGTGTGAAACATCACATGGGGCCTTTGTTCATTTCAATTAAAATACTAAGTAGCAGCTCAGAGTCTCAGTTCCCTTCAGAGGGGAAACTGCACCAGCTTAATGCATCAATCAATACCGCAACAGCATTGATTGATGATCGATGATCGATGTACCGATTGATGATCGATGTACCGATTGATGATCAATGTACCGATTGATGATCAATGTACCGATTGATGATCAATGTACCGATTGATGATCAATGTACCGATTGATCATCAATGTACCGATAGTATTGATTGATGTATTGATTGATGATCAATGTACCGATATTATTGATTGATGATCAATGTACCGATATTATTGATTGATGATCAATGTACCGATATTATTGATTGATGATCAATATGCCGATAGTATTGATTATGTACCGATTGATGATCAATGTACCGATCGTATTGATTGATGATCAATGTACCGATAGTATTGATTGATGATCAATATACCGATAGTATTGATTGATCATCAATGTACCAATAGTATTGATTGATCATCAATGTACCGATCGTATTGATGATCAATGTACCGATAGTGTTGATTGATGATCAATGTACCGATCATATTGATTGATGATCAATATACCGATCATATTGATTGATGATCAATGTACCGATCATATTGATTGATGATCAATATACCGATCATATTGATTGATGATCAATGTACCGATAGTATTGATTGATGATCAATGTACCGATAGTATTGATTGATGATCAATGTACCGATAGTATTGATTGATGATCAATATACCGATAGTATTGATTGATGATCAATATACCAATAGTATTGATCAATGAATTGATTGATGATCAATGTCATGATAGTATTGATTGATGTATTGATTGATGATCAATGTACCGATAGTATTGATTGATGATCAATGTACCGATCATATTGATTGATGATCAATATACCGATCATATTGATTGATGATCATGTACCGATAGTATTGATTGATGATCAATATACCGATAGTATTGATTGAATGATCAATATACCAATAGTATTGGATCAAAGGATTGATTGATGTATTGATATGCCCACGTGGCCTTCGACAGGAACCTGATCTACAGCTCTCGAGGTAAATCTTCTTTACACGTCTTCACAGCCACCGGCGTTTTGTCGCGCTGCAACGTTCCTATGAACACCTCGCCGAAGTTACCCTGGCAACCGGCAGTCAGCAGTGCATGATGGGAAAAGCAGCGAGAGCAAAAGGTTACGAAGGGAAAAACACCACAGAACTGTAGCCAAGTGGATTGGGAGACAGGAAACAGGAAGTGAGGTCACCTTCCCCAGCAGCTCCCCCAGCGCCACGTCCTCGTGGTTCAGGATCCATTTCTTATCCTGCAGACAGAAATAACCAAGTACACATGTAAGTACTCACAAAAGAGGAATGTACACATGTATTTAAGGGAAACGTCTGTATTTAGTAGCAAAAGTGACTTTGTACATGTGCTATGCTTTGATGCTCACATCTTACTTTGTGTAATTATTCACGTTTTGTCGTCAATAAACCCAAATAATTACATTTCTACTGAGCTGACACATAATCGGTTTTAGTTCATCATACTAGTGTTTCTGGTATTAATACTAGTCTCCAGTACTGATACTACAGAATATTTGTATTCATTTTTTTAGCTCAGTGAGTTGAATTCATTTTTAGATATATGAAGAAATGTATCCTGTGTTGTACTTGTTCATTAATATATAAGTATCCATACAGTGTAACAAGTGTAACCCTCAGTATTGTGAAGCCAAGTGTGTACATATGTAGAAAGAAGCGGTTGCCTTGACGACGGGGTTGAGCAGCACAACTCCGGACTTCTTGGTGATGACCTGTTTGGTGGAGAAGTGATGCTCGATGAGCTGAGGAATCGTAGAGAAACCGGTGCCCTCGAAACGGTACTGAGTCTACCAGAGACAGACAGACAGAGGGAGGGTGTTAATGTGTGTCCGTGTTCAGTCTGTTTACGTCCTGACGTGTGTTTGTACTTACGTCGGCGTACTGGATGATGAAGTGTCGCCTCTGCTCGTCAGAAAACACCGACAGGACGTACTCGCCCGGTTTACCGTGACTCTCCCTCACCAGGAAGTCTCCCTGTTGCCGTAGCAACTCCTGGGCCTCGGTGCGGGGGATGGCACCGTGGTACCACTCCTGCTCCGCCAGGGGGCGCTCCGACGTGGGGATCACATCAAAGAACTGCTGCTGGGAGGAGCGGAGGCATCACTTCAAATGATCTCTATCGACAAATTTGGGCGCTACAATGTTAGCTTAGTGTAGCAGCGATGCATCGAGGAAACAAGCATCTTAAAAGTTGGTCATTCCAGGTCTTTCAGAGAGAAAATAAAACAAAGTCAGATTCCTTATAACTGCTGATGACGTGATGAGCTCACCGAGGAGGAGGAGCTCAACAGGACTTTAGGCGAACGAATCATTCCGGCCAGAGAGTGACGCAGAGTGTCGAACCGAGAGCTCTTCTCCTTGGTTTTGTCCTGGAAACACAAACATGATGTTTAGTGTTGATCTGTATTGTATTAAGTGCTCATCCCGCAAAACTCACATCACAAGTGAACGCATCACAGCGACGTCATACGGGTCTCGTGTTAACTGAGCTATGGTATCTGAAGTGGACCGCCGTCGGTTGGCTGTTAGCTGCTAACGTTACTGCTAACGCTAGCTCCCCTCCTGTTAGGACGAACACTGATAGGCTGTCCACGATGTCACATGATTATTATTATTACAGGTCATTTAGCAGACGCTTTTATCTGTGGCCTGTGGAGCAATTAGGGGTCAGGTGTCTTGCTCAGGGACACTTGACATGGAACATGGGGCAGCCTGGACTCAAACCACCAACCTTGTGCTTCCCAGCACACCTTCTCTAACCCCTGCGCCACGACCACCACATGATGAGAGATCAGACACGTCAGTGACGTCATCGTCAATGATCCTACTGAATACTGGAGAAAACTTTATTTACACTCTGTTGCTTGACGATTTGTAGCGGCGGGCGAACGATGACGGGACATTATTAAAGTTAAAGGGTTTAGAGGAGGTGAAGCTCTCAATCAGACAACAACCCAACGGTGAATATTTACGGTGGATCCGACTGAGCGGGCGTCGTCCTCGTACGGCAGTGCGGGGGGAGGAGGCGGCGGGGGCGGGGAGGTGGCGGCGGCGGCCATCTTGGCGTCCAGCAAGGCCTTCTGGGAGGCGAGGCGGGCCTCTGAGCCGCGTAGTGATTGGACGGCGTGATGAAGCTCGAGGACAGAGAGTTTCTGACTGAGCAGCAGGACACAGCTGAGGGGAGAGACAGACGGTTAGAGAGAGAGACAGGTGGAGACAGACGGGCTCCTCCTCTAACTCACTCGCTCTTCCTCTCCGCGCTCTGCTGACTCGTCTGGATTTTTGAGTCGAGCTCGTCGGCCATCGCCTCCTTGGTACTCAGGTTCTGCTGAGTGAGGGACAGCTCCTCCGACGCCGAGGACAACCTGCGGGGACAGGGAGGTGGAGGTGATCGAAACGAGAGGCTCGATGTCTGGGTTTTTAGGATAATTAAATGGAATAACCTTCTGAGTATGTAATTCGGTGTATAAACATGCACTTCTATTTCCAAACCAGAGGAACTCACTGGACACTGAGACCTTCTCAAGAAGAACACTTCTCCCACAATTCATTCTTCTCAGCAGTTGGACTTTTTTATTTCATGTCTGTGTACTGCATTGTTGTGTATGTTGCGTTACCTTGTGTCCTTAAGGTTTATGGTTGGTTTGAATTAACATGCAGCTAATTGAATGTAGAATACAGTATTTCCTCTTTGGTTTAGCATTAAAATGTTTTTGTTTAGCATACTGGGATATTCTATGCACTCAGGTTCATACGACGCCATCTTTTCATTAAAGAAGTCGGGTGGCGGCTTGTGCTCGAGCGGTGATGGTGGGTGGACAGACAGACCAGCTGAGCACCAGTAACTCTGGACCATCAGCACCGACGGGTTGGAACACGTCACAATGTCGGGCTGCAAAGGGGCGGTAAATTTCACTAAAACCTTCCATGGGAAGTTACGTGTTTGTGTGCAAAAGCACTTAAATGTAGTTGAGAAGAAGACTGCAGGCCTCCGCTGGAGCCCTGGGTCGCCATAGCGAATCCACGGTTATTCAACATATTTAGTTAATTACTCGACGTTAACTAATTTTTTATATTTGTATTAGAAATGTGGCACGTCTGCTTATGTCACATATGACGAGATTTCCAGTTTATTCCCTTTAGTTTCCACGGAAAGTTTGCAATTTCTTTATATTTTGCAACCCTAGTGTTGAGTCTTTTATTTTGAAGGAGCTCACATGGCCTGCAGGCTGTCGGCTGTCAGCGTGTTCCAGAGGATCTCATTGGCCGGCAGGTTGTCCGTCTCGTCCAATAGAGAGGCGTCAAACTCCACGCTCGCCTCCTGAGTCTCCGGAGACCTGAGGGGGGAGACACCGTTACCACGGCAGCAAACGCACAGACCCGGTTACTATGGCGACCGCGGCCCCCCTCTGACCGGTAGGCATCGATGAAGTGCTGGTACTCGGCCAACGGGTCGATCTGCTCCACCGCCGCCGAGATCTCCTGGTGCGCCTTGACGATCTCCTCCGTCAGCAGGCTGCTGATCTCACAGTACTCCTCCAGGATGCTCTTACTGCGCGCACACACACACGCACACGTCACACACACACACGCTCCTCACACCTCACGGCGTGGCACAAGGTCACGTGACTCACAGCGCGAGCGTCATGTCCTCCTGCATCCTCTGCAGGGTGTCCAGCAGCGCCGGGGCGGGCGTGGCTTCGGTGCTCCTCCTGCTGCGTGCGGGGCGCCGCACACCGCCAGCACGTACTGGTTGTGGAGGTTGTTGAGCTTTGCCCGTTGCTTTGTCGTAGCGCTCGCGGGCGCGCTCCGCCTCCCGTCCTGTGATTGGACGATAGGCTGTCAGCAATTCTTTAGAGCAGAGATTCCCAAAGTGTGGTGCGGGCTCTCCTGGGGGGCGCGAGAGGGACGTAATGGTGGTCTAATAATAATAGTTCATATTAAATATAATTTGTAAAACACCCAGTCTTTATAAAACATGCGTAACTGTCAGGTGGACATCTGACGCTCCTCCTTCTCAAACCCACCTCCTACTTCTTGCGTCCCACTGGCTTCACCTCTATCGCCCTCACTTTCCTCTTTCACCCCCCTGTCTCCTAACCAAACTCGGTTTGACCTCTTGACCCCATTCCATCTTCTACAATCTATCGCTCCTGACCTTCTTCCGTTCCTCACCTGTCTCATCAACAAGGCTCTGTTATCTGGCTGTTTTCTCTGAAGGAGGCAAGAGTCAACCCCCTCCTGAAGAAACCCACCCTCAACCCTTCTGAAGAAAACAACTACAGACGGTCTCTCTTCTTCTCTCCTCCTATCTCCACCGTAACAACCTCCTTGACCCCCACCAGTCAGGCTTCAAGGCCGTTCCACAGAGACTGCTCTCCTCGCTGTCTCAGAGCAACTCCACACTGCGAGAGCTCCTCTCTGTCCTCTGTCCTCGTCCTTCTGGACGTCTCTGCTGCATTTGACACAGTCAACCACCAGATCCTTGTCTTCTCCCTTCAGGAACTTGGTGTCTCAGGCTCTGCTCTCTCCCTTCTCTCGTGGCCTGGCGAGGATCTGTGTCGGAACCTTGTCCTCTTACTACGGGAGTTCCTCAGGGTTCCGTCCTGGGTCCCCTCCTCTTCTCGCTCTACACCAACTCTCTCTGCGCTGTCATTCGCTCACATGGCTTCTCCTACCACAGCGATGCTGATGACACCCAACTAATTCTCTCCTTCCCTCACTCGGATCTCTGCCTGTCTGACTGACATCTCTCAGTGGATCCGCCCACCATCTGAAAATCAACCCCGACAGACGGAACTACTTCTCCTTATGTGAGAAGATTCTCCTTCACAGGACCTGACGGTTAACTTTGAGACTCCGTGTTAACGTCCACTTTGACTGCAGGAACCTCGGCGTGACATCGACAGCCGACTCTCCCTGACTCCAACATCACTGACAACACCATCCTGTAGATACTCGCTCTACAACATCAGGAGAACACGTCCTCTTCTCACTCAGGAGGTACTGATTCAGGCTCTGGTCGTCTCCCTCCTGGACTACTGCAACTGTCTCCTGCAGGTCTCCTGCTACCTCCATTCCACCTCTGCAGCTCATCCAGAATGCAGCAGCTCCAGTGGTCTTCAACCTTCCTAAGTTCTCCCTCACTCCTCCACTCCTCCGCTCTCTTCACTGGTACCGGTGGCTCATCCAGTTCTAAACATGGTGCTCACGTACCATGCTGTGAATGGATGGGGTCCAGCTCACATCCAGGACCTGGTCCAACCCGACATCCCGACCCGCACTCTCCGCTCTGCATGTGATAAACTGCTTGTTCCTCCTCACTGAGAGCAAAACACTCGACTAGATCTCCACTCTTTGCTGTCCTGCTCCTAAATGGTGGAAGGAGGTCTCTGAAGACATCAGGACCACAGAGAGCCTTCACATCTTCAGACTAAAGACACACGTCTTCAGACTCTACCTCCACTAACACACTAACTACCTGCAGCACTTACATTGGACTTATAATGGTTCTTATCTACAGCAAGTTGATGAAATTGCACTTTCTTGTTCCTTGTTCTTCTGAGTTTGTTTCCTTGTGGTTGAAATGTTCTTATTGTAAGTCGCTGGATAAAAGCGTCAGATAAATGACATGTGATGTCATGTAATGATTTAGGGTCACATGACTGTGACATGATGTCATAGTTTCACTGAGGAGAGCACAACGTAATGTTTATAACAGCTTTTAAAGGAATGAAATGTTGAAATGAAACCTTTCATCAGCGCCTCTCGGTACTTCTCTTTGGCGCTGTTGGCGTCGCGGCTCAGCTGACGATACGCCGCCTTCAGCTTGTCGAGGTCAGTCCTCGTTACCTAGCAACAACACAACGCCAGCATCAGGACGAACTGACACACGAACACACACACAAACAGGGACACACACACAGGAACACGCACCTTGTGGGTGTGGCTCTCCAGCTGCTGATGAAGACTCTGGTAGCTCTTCTTCACCTGCTGCTTGTCTCGGATCAACGTGGCCAATCGGTGAAGAGGACCCGAGTTCAGATCATCAGCGTGAGTCCTCATGACGCGTCCCAGAGCCTCGGTCTGTCGGACCACCTGGGACCAGGACTGTGGGGGAGAGACAGACAGGGCTGAGAGAGACAGACAGGTGGACAGACAGACAGGCAGACAGACAGGCAGGCAGGCGACCCCCACCTTGCTCACGGTGCTGACGTAGTCGGCGGCTTCCGGTTTCTCTGTCTGCTGAGTCATGCTGAGCAGCAGAGTCGCGTATTCTTTGTCGCTCTTCACTCGCAGCGTCATGAAGCGCTTCACCGTCTCCAGCAGCTACAGACACACAGGGACCGAGTTAGACACCTGACCCAGTACCTGAGCAGGTAGTACACACACACTGTACCTGAGCAGCTAGTACACACACACTGTACCTGAGCAGCTAGTACACACACACTGTACCTGAGCAGCTAGTACACACACACTGTACCTGAGCAGCTAGTACACACACACTGTACCTGAGCAGCTAGTACAACACACTGTACCTGAGCAGCTAGTACACACACACTGTACCCGAGCAGCTAGTACACACACACACACTGTACCTGAGCAGCTAGTACACACACACACACACACTGTACCTGAGCAGGTAGTACACACACACACACTGTACCTGAGCAGTAGTACACACACACACTGTACCTGAGCAGGTAGTACACACACACACTGTACCTGAGCAGCTAGTACACACACACTGTACCTGAGCAGCTAGTACACACACACACACTGTACCTGAGCAGCTAGTACACACACACTGTACCTGAGCAGCTAGTACACACACACTGTACCCGAGCAGCTAGTACACACACACACACTGTACCTGAGCAGCTAGTACACACACACTGTACCTGAGCAGCTAGTACACACACACACACACACTGTACCTGAGCAGGTAGTACACACACCACACACTGTACCTGAGCAGGTAGTACACACACACACTGTACCTGAGCAGGTAGTACACACACACACTGTACCTGAGCAGGTAGTACACACACACACACTGTACCTGAGCAGGTAGTACACACACACACTGTACCTGAGCAGGTAGTACACACACACACTGTACCTGAGCAGGTAGTACACACACACACTGTACCTGAGCAGGTAGTACACACACACACACTGTACCTGAGCAGGCAGTACACACACACACACACACACACACACACACAGTGTACCTGAGCAGGTAGTACACACACACACACACACACACACACAGTGTACCTGAGCAGGTAGTACACACACAGTACATGGACAGGTAGTACACACAGTACCTGGACAGGTAGTACACAAAGTATAGATAGAGTACCTTTAACTCCCAGTCTTGCAGCTTCAATATCCCTCGTGGGAATTCCTCAGATCCCGACCGAACCCCATCTCTGATCAAACACACACACACACACACACACACACACACACACTCTTTCTAATGGCGAACAGGTATTGATTGCATGGTTGTCTGAGAGAGAGAGAGAGAGATTATTAGTATATACATGTACATACACCTGTAGTTGATGATACTCTAAAGAAGTATTGTGTAGTACTTTCAGGCTCAGAAAGCGTCGTGTGACAAATGTCACACGTTTGTTCCAAAGAAACTCTCAGAATGATCTCCAAACCGTAAACACTTCAAACCCATTAACGTCCTAAACAGACACATTCATTGAGCATAACATCATTTCTTAGATCGTTTCATCCCTTTAAATATCCTCCATGTTTGGAAATGTTAGAAAATCTGATCCGATGAAAGTCTCCTGTCACTCTGAAAACATCCTTCACTTTTACTCCAAAACTTCCACAACTCTTCTCAAACGTATTACCTCACTTTTCTTGAAAGCCCCTTTAACTCTAAACCACATCAAACCGCTTTTAAATTTGGTCAACTTCTTAAAATCTTTAAATTCCATCAGAGCCTGGTGAGAGCCCGAAGCTAAGCTAACGCTAGCCGCTGCTCCTCCTCGCAGGAACCAATGGGAAACTGAAGCTAGCATGCTAACTCTGAAGTTTCCATTGGAACGCTGAAACTAACGGACCGTCAACCTCCAAAAACAAACACGTAAACGAGCGGACACGGGCGAACTCACGGTGTTTGAGTCCGTGTAGGTGCGCGCGTTGCCCCGGTAAATATAGAACAAGGTGACGGGAGCAGGCGGAGGAGCGCTCGCTGTTTTCTCTCCTTCTTCTTCTACGCTTCCGGCCGCACAGCCCCCGGTGACGCGGTGTGTTCGGCGGCTGACTCGCTGTCCGGTCACCGCTTCTCTGCCGTCCTACCGGCGCATTCCTCCGCTTCTCCGTGTTTTACTCCCCGTTTGTTCCTCCTGGAGTCCGGCTACAGCTAAGGGGGCTAACAGGGAGGGGCTTCCGGAGGAAACGGACAACGGGGGCGGGGGGGCTCTGTTATTCTATATTTATTAAAACAACCAGTAGCTTCCCATCAGTGCTTCTATGAATTCATAGTCATTCATTCCATTTTTTCTTTTTAAAAACAGGCATGTTATCATATCAAAATCATAACTTCCCTCTAAAACATTTCCCCCATGTGACCTAATGTAGATTCAACCAGGTAAAGTGAAGTCAGAGCTTCATGAGTTAAAGCTGCATTCTCTGTAGCGACCAGCAGGGGGCGACTCCTCTGGTCCCATAGAAGTATTGAAAATGTATTGAAAATAAAAATAAGTGGACGAAAAGTATTTTTGGGTTAAATATATTGTTGACTGAGTTGTATAATTCTTTTGAATAAAATATATTGTTTTCATATTAGCTGTTTTATATTTTTCGGTTGGAGATTTTATATTTTCAGATTCAAATCTTGTTTAATGTTATATTTTCAAGTTTCAGATATTTCTTTCACTTTCGTATCAGTTTTTTTTTCACATTCAGACTTTTGACCCTGATGTGGCGTAAGGGGACGGGGCAAAAATACTTTTCGTCCACTTATTTTTATTTTCAATACATGTTGTATTTTTCAATGATTAAGGCCAAAACACATTTGTTTTTCAAATGAAAACTGTGTTTGGTTCCATGGCCTAGTGGAGGCGTATATGCAGCGTCTCTACATCTTCCTCAGTTCATACATGGTCACTTCCTGTTCACTGGACGTAAAAAAACAGCCACATGGTGATGGCGGAATCAGTAAACTTGAGGCTCTAAGTGGCCAAAATCCATTTAGTGACATCAAGTCCACGCCTCATAGAAAGAGTGTTGCTAAAATTAGCTACTTAGCTTCACATATTTTAGGTAGCAACATTCCACAACGCTGACCTCGACGAAATGATCGAATGATTCGATTTGTTCCCTTCCGAACTTCCCATCACTAGTGGTCATGTTCCCTGATTCCATTGGGGTCAATGAGACTCTCTCAAAGGGGGCGGGGCTATGGAGAAACACCACGTGACTTCACTTGTCTTATCAGCTTTCCTGTGAGGAGCAACTAGCAGCCGGGGGCGTGGCTTATACGTTCGTGTTCGCCATAACGATGTTGAGATGCAACCGTGTCCCCCTGAAGAGGTGAGCTTAGATGCTACATTAGCATCAGTTCTCTCAGTTCTCTTCTCATGACAGGCTTCCATGAGAGGTTGATTGAGAGATGGTTCATCCTATCACTGCCAACAATATTCCAACCACGGCTCTTCAGGTGTTTCTGTGAAACAAACCACCTGGATGACACAGAGCAGGGAGTAGGCGGGTCTCGGTGCCAGAAGAATGAAAGGAGAGTTTCTGTCTAACCGGTTGATGACGGAGTGCTGACAGCACTTCTTACCGAACATGCCTTGGATTTATTTAAACGTTTCCTCAAACTCTTCAGACTAATCAGCTCCCGAAAGTGACGCGGAAAATATCATAAAATAATTAAGGGAAAACAAATTCAACATCAAAATCAATTAGAAAAGTGTTTTATTCTAAACACAAAGAAACATAAATATGTGACCAAATAAAACTTCTTTGAATATTTCCAGTAATTGTTCTGCAACAACAGAAGATGTAAATAGTTGCACAATGCAAACAAAGAATGAACTATAGTGCGTGTGTGCGCGTGGAGGGGGAGGGGGTGTCGGCAGGTAGGACAGGTTAGGGCGAGGCGCGGGACAGAAAAGAGAGAGAGGGAGACAGATTTACACCTCAGCTGCTTATTTCACCTCGTCAGGAGAAGAAGAAGAAGAGAAAACAGGATAAAAGAGGAGAAGAAGAAGTTGGTGTTTCCTCTAAAGACCGAAGAAGAAGAAGAAGAAGAAGAGCTGTTCAGGTACAAGTACCTGATAATCCTCAGAAGTTTACTTCAGTAACTTTAGTACTCACTGAGCAGTACTCACTGAGCAGTTACTCATTTATACATCGAGCAGCCAGCAGAATGTTCACGGACTCTTCTTACGGAGTCAGACGCCAGCCTGTGTAGCATTGTTAGCACGTTAGCATCGTTGAGATTAGCATTTATATTTTCACAATAAAAGTGTAAACGAGTTGACTAAATGTAGGGAGAAGTTCACAGACACAGGAAGTAGAGCTGAGTTTACAGTTGTTCTCCATACAAATACAAAGTAATATTAACTCTTTTATTAAACGGGTGTAAAGTGAAAAAGTTCACTAATGTGAAATAAGGTATAAAAAATTTACTTAAGTACATTAAAGTGAAATAAATGAATGTGAAGTGAGTTATTTGTTTATATTTCACCATGTGGCTGAAGTATCGTAATTCATTGTCTCTCTCCTTATTAGAATTATCTCGCCCGATTGGACGGCTTGCTTAGTGGTTGATTGGTCCTCCTTTGCCCCGCCCTCCCGTGACTCATCACGATGTCATCTAACATCAGCGTCTCCCCCGACAACCCGTATGGTCAGGTGACCATCCCCCGGGCTAAACTCCGCCTCTCTGATGACGTCTCCACGGTGATAGCCAATCCGGGGGCTCTTAGCAGCAACGACAGTAACCCATACAGCGCGTCAAACTCCTCCCCCGCCCCGTACGTGGTAAAGGAGGCCGGCGGGGAGGACGAGGGGCGGGGGAGGTGCCCCGCCTGTTGCTACCGCTGCAGGAGGAGGAAGTGATGTCACAGCGGCAGGAGGATTGGGATTGGCTTCATTTCCGAAGACCAAAACGCTGCTTTCATTATGCTAACGTGTCTCCTCGCGTCCTAGCTCCTTGCAGCGAGGATGTGAAGAAGAAGACGACAGGCAGGAGGAGGCAACGCAAACCAGTAGTCCCTGTTTCCACGGCGACCGTCCCTGTTGACTCTCTTCACGCCATGTTTACACAGGACGCCTGTGCTTCCTCACCCTGCGCTCCTCCTTGACTCCTCGTCGCAATAATATCATCGTAGTAATGAAAGGTTGTTGGCAGAAAATAGATTATTAAATAATAAAAGCTTTTGTGATTTTTTTTTTTCTTCCAGGAAAAGAATAACCTTATTTATTAATTATTTCTGCTTAACTAGCCAACATACACGAGAATGCTGGGCAGGAAGTTGGCATTTTTATTTTTTGTTTATTACTTTTAAGTCAATATTCTTTATTGGGGAAATTTAATCTGATCTTTTCTAATCTAAAAGTGATAACATTTGTAAACAGTGTATCAATCCTTAAAGTTTAATGATGTCATAAATATGAATCTAATGATCACAAGAATGAACTCAATGACAACTTGTAATGTTTTATTGTAATCTTTATTTATTTTCCATCTTCAGAGGAAATTATTTAGATTTCAGAAGTCTTTATTCAGCATAATCATGTTGAACATTTTAGTATGAAGGAGATTTTAAAGTATAATTGTATAGTATAAAAGATATCCGTGCAATCTAAAGATGTATATGAAATAAAGCAGTGAATGTTTTTGATTGGGCTCTTGTTGCTGCCGTTGTGATTGGTGATCATGGTTCAGCCAATCAGAGGCCGAGTAGGGCGGGCCGTAAATCGAATCGGCTGGAGAGAAAGATTTAAAACATGAAGCAGCAGATTTTAAGGTTAATCAAGATGAAAAAAACGTGGAAATCAATGAAAAGCAGAGTTTCATATCTTATTTTTCAAATTAAAAATGATTTGTCATATCAAACATTAATTAGTAATATTTATTGTTTGAATGCTGCCCTATTCCTGAATTAATATAAAACAAATTCAATTTTTTTCGAGTTTATTTTCAAATCCTCTTAAAACTTAAACTTTTAAATCCTTCTGATTGCCAATCTTTCAGCTACAGCTGATGTTACAGAGGACATTTCAGAACCTGATAACAGGATTTTAACACTGAATATCTTAGCTAAGAACTTTAATACATATTTTATCAGTCTTGCCTGGCGAGGGGCGCTAACCTCAATCACCTGTTCTAGTTGGGGGAAGTACTCTCTCAATGCATGCAACATGAAATGTTTGGTAACGTTTTCTTTCAAATATAAATGTTTCTTTTGTTTTAAACAGGCATTGGGACAACCAGTGTCTTTCCCCTGTTTAAGGCATTTTAATAAACCAATTGCATTGGACCTTTGCTTGTGGCTCTTCCTGCTGTGTGAAGGGAGTGACGCGGGGATGGAGCAGCCATCTCGCACGTGTCATTTGCTGTGATTTGAATTTGTATTTCTTTGATGTGTTATTCTTTTTACTTTATGGTTATCACCTTTACACCGACCTCCCGAATGTCACAAGTTAGTCCCATATGGTCTATTTTCTTTGTTGGTTTTGTTTGCTACAGACATTAAGTGAACAGTATTTAATCACTTTTTATCCTTTTTATTGACTAATTTGAAGAGTTCATTTAATAAACCGTTCATGTCTATATTTCCAGCAATTTTTATAAATTAATTTCAGCTTTTCACTTGTAGCTGCATTTTCTAGTTCTGTTTGTTTCTCCCTGTGTGTCTGTGTTGCTGGGCGACCTGAGTTCACCGCACTGAGCTGTAATCTGATAGGCCAATAAAGACAAGAGCGCAGCATCACTTTCTATTGGCTGATCGGGTTACAGTTTATTGCTCAGTTCAACTTTGAACGAAATACTGAGTGAAACTTTACACGTTGAATGTGTGATGTTAAAATAGATCAGTTGTAGATTTATATATTAGCTGGAGGATGACATTCATACATTTAAAGGACATTTTTCCTACTTGGGGTTTTGTTGTATGTCTTGTTTTTGTGAATCATAAAGTGAGTTTTTTTTAATTGTTAAAATTGATTTTGATTCTTTTAAATACATATTTAGTATTAGAAAGATAAGATGAATCATGACTGACACATTTTATGGTTTGTATAATAAAACAAATAAAGTTACCTTTTTAATATATAAATAATAAGTGACATTCAGTGTCGGCTGAACAACGCTGAATTATTGATGAAGGGACTCTGTCTCTCTGTCTCTCTGTCTCTCTCTCTCTCTCTCTCTCTCTCTCTCTCTCTCTCTCTCTCTCTCTCTCTCTCTCTCTCTCTCTCTCTCTCTCTCTCTCTCTCTGTCTCTCTCTCTCTCTCTCGGAGGCACAAAGAAGAAGAAGGAGCACGAAAAACAGAGAAGAAGAAGAGAGAAGAGAATATAACAAGAAAGAACAAAGATCAACAAAAGCGAAAACAAAGAGTGGACAAAATGAAAGAGTGACAACGAGAATCCAAAATAAAGAAAACCAAACAAACTGGAATAAAAGACGGAGAGACGCAGAAATGAAGCTAAACGAGTCGATGGGAAACAAGAAGATGTGATGAGAAGAAAAAAGAAGAAATTCAGGTAAGTTCCTGTTTCCTTTATAATATCGTCCAATCACAGCACAGCATGCTAACATGTGATTCTACCAGCACAAACAGGAAGTGAGTCTTTATTAAATATTAGTAATCAATAAATAACTCACATGACTTTAGATGGACATATGGAGATTTCTTTATTACATCACGTGTCATTTATCTGACGCTTTTATCCAAAGCGACTTACAATAAGAACATTTCAACCACAAGGACACAAACTCAGAAGAACAAGAAACAAGAAAGTACAATTTGATAGATTATAATTGATGATGTTCACATTAAACACACCATATATTTTATTGCGTTTGAGTCTCTGAAGGGTTCATATTTGATAGGAATAAATAAACAAAGAGAGAAGAATCCAAGTGGGTACAGTAACTGTTTTTTGTGCTATTTGGTCAAATCAAGGACTAACATTTAACCTTAGCGTTGGTATGCAGCTAGCTCACGAGCTAATGCCGCCATGTAATCAATACCCGCGTTTCCTCTTTAACAGAGATACACTAATAGTTAGAATTTTGGAATTTCATTGGAAAAAACACTGCATGAAAAGAAACGCTTTGTTTTGAAAGTTGTTACGGTTGAGTAACGCTAGCTAATGTTAGCATTAGCTATTTGTTGGCCGAGTGATATTACACTGTATTATATTTATTATATTACAAATAGCATCTAAAATATTCTTCCCTTGATTAAAACATGTTTATCTATTAGAACAAAATGTCGGACACCAGAAAAGAAGAAGAAAGGGAAGAAGAGGAGGAAGGGAACCGTGAGCCATTTCCTCCTCCTCCTCTGTCCTCCGTTGCCGTGGAGACGATGACGACACCGAGGAGGCAGGACCTGGTGTGCATCGTGTGCTTCGGCATCTACGATGTGGCAACGCGGCTGCCGCGGCGACTTCACTGTGGCCACGCCTTCTGCCAGGCCTGTCTGAAGAGGCTGGACACGGTCATCAACGAACAGGTGAGCAGTGACGTCATCGACGCTCGTCATCCAGACACGGTCATCGGACCGCCAAGCGTTGAAAGGAGTTATGAACTAATGAAGGAAACGGCATGTTTACAATAGTAATGAAGTGACGTATGACGAGTGAGTGATGAAAGCAGATGAAGTGTAAATTAAGACTTGAGACATTTTAACCTTGGAGTTTGCATAAAGATAAATGTGCTTTAAGTAAAATAATCTGTTCTAAACATTTAGTCACTACAACTCCCATAGTTCTTTGGGACGTAACGTGAACGCCCCCACAACCCCTCTAGGTGTGGATCCCGTGTCCTCAGTGCCGACAGAACACGCCTCGGCCCAGAGGAGGAGCGGCGGGTCTGGACCTGGACCTGGCCTCCTTCCTGGGAGTGAAGGCCCAGCAGACCGGCGCCTCTGGCCGCGGTGGGGGGCCGCTGGCAGGGGACGCGGCCCAGGACAGGAAGTCGTGGTTGGGGAAGGAGGTGGCGGACGACGGCTGGTCGCACGGCGGTCTGGCCGAGCCGCGCTTCCACCGCTATGGAAGCTGCTGCCCGCCCCCCTCCTATTGGCTGTGCTGCTTGTTCTGCTGCCCGGGGCGGGGCTAAGACTGACCAATGAGTGTGCTGACTTTAACACATCTTTCTTTGTGAAAGCTATTTATTTAAATGAACATGTAACGTGTTAATATATAAGATATTTATATTGTATAATGTTGTGTGTAAAATACACACAATAAATAACAACTACTAATTTATAATATAAATTGCATTCGAGGTGGAATAAAGGGAACACTGCTGAGAAAGAAATATTTATTCATAACATTTTACAAAAAGTATAGGATTGAGGTTAATTAATCAACATTATCTCTGGCCGATCACAGGCATCCGGTTGGGTTTTGAAAATGAACATTTTTGAAACCCAACAGGTTGAAAATGACTTTTGAACCAAGATAAAAGAATAAAGCTTCTCACATTCAAACTGTCAGAGGACGGAGGAACTTAAACAGAATGTTCGACGTCATAATTAGTTTGTTAAATGTGATGTGAATGTTTGAGTACATTTGTTGGTTGGTTCAGTTCCTGGAAGAGCGACACGGACACAACAGAAAAAGCTTTGGCATTCAACTCCACCTCCATGCGGCGCAAGGCATTCTGGGAGTCGTAGTGCTCTTCATCTCCTCCACAGGTATTGTTTTGATACTGATCTCCCACAATGCAGTAGACTCTTGTCTTCCACCAGACGCAGGCTGGTCTTCATCATCAACCCCCCCTCTCAGAGTGCCCGGCTCGGCCAATCAGAGGCTGCTGAGCCCCTCCCCCGATTCAGAGGCTGCCGAGCCCCTCCCCCAATCAGAGGCAGCCGAGCCCCTCGACCAATCAGAGGCTAGCGAGCCCCTCGACCAATCAGAGGCTGCCGAGCCCCTCCCCCAATCAGAGGCTGCCGAGCCCCTCCCCCACTCTGATCCGCTGCCCTGCCTGCAGGTTGAAGCTGAAGTCTTTTGGAGCTTCGAACAGCAGGACGATGGTGGAGCCGAGGTTAAACTCGCCCACCGCCGCGCCCTTCTGTAGGACCACGCCCTCTCCTTCCCCGGAGGCCACGCCCCCTTTGCCCGCCGCCTTTGACAGGAGGTTGTCGGCGGCAACGTAACTGCGGTCGTGGAAGGAGCCTTTACTGTAGCGGGGAACGTTGGTCTGAAGCTCCTGAGGACGCAACAGTTATTAATTATTAAAATGTTATTAATTAATATTACTCACAGAACAACTAAGCTAAAATTTAGATTCATCTAATCTAGTTGGTTGTGAAGTGATTTAAAAAATATATAAAAACTTAGTGAATTCATGCTCATCATAGTATATGGTAAAACTGTAGTTTAAATATCCAGAAATATATGAATAGTTTAGTTAGTTAGTTACACATTTAGAGAAATATTAAATCATATTACCTTCCTTTAATTCATAATGAATTAAAACAGAAATATATAAAGACAAAAACATTATAGGAAATGGACTTAAAGAGTAAACGTTGCTCACCTGGTCAAAGTAAACCCGGATGGAGCCGACGTTCGTCGCTCCCACCGCCGTTAACGAGAAGAAGCCGTGCTGCCATTGGCCAGTGAGAGCAACGCGCTCGTTAAGGCAGAAGAGCTCTTTGACCAATCGAGCAACGCCCGGGTTAACGGAGAGTAACGAGCCTAACGAGGAGAGACAGATGCAGAGGGGGGTGAGACAGATGCAGAGGGGGGTGAGACAGATGCAGAGGGGGGTTAAAGGTGGAGAGGGGGGTGAGACAGATGCAGAGGGGGGTTAAAGGTGGAACATCGACTCACCTGGGAAGTGACGTCGTAGCTCCACCTTCCAGTTGGTGGGCGAATGGAAGCAGTGATAATCACCTGGGGCCAGGTAGACCACCACGTGGAAGAGGTCGTTATCAGGGGACGAGAGGAGGCGGTCCCTGAAGGAGGAGGAGGAGTCTAAAAGACAGTGACAGGAACAGGTCGTTATCAGGAGGCGGTCCCTGAAGGAGGAGGAGGAGTCTAAAGACAGTGACAGGAACAGGTCGTTATCAGGAGGCGGTCCCTGAAGGAGGAGGAGGAGTCTAAAGACAGTGACAGGAACAGGTCGTTATCAGGAGGCGGTCCCTGAAGGAGGAGGAGGAGTCTAAAGACCGTGACAGGAACAGGTCGTTATCAGGAGGCGGTCCCTGAAGGAGGAGGAGGAGTCTAAAGACAGTGACAGGAACAGGTCGTTATCAGGAGGCGGTCCCTGAAGGAGGAGGAGTCTAAAGACAGGAACAGGTCGTTATCAGGAGGCGGTCCCTGAAGGAGGAGGAGTCTTATGCAGCCCACCAAATGAGACACCGCCAACAAGATGGACACGTTTACACCAGCAGCCCTGTCTGTTCTCGTCATCGTGATCATCATGTTGTCTTATTACCATTTTCCCGCCCCTTCTGTGGACCCAGGAAGTTCTCCAGGCTGTAGGTGACCCCCTTCACCTGCTCCACCTCCGAGTTCTTCACCTGACCAAAGTGGAGGATCTTCCCGTCAGCTGGAGAGATCTGACGGAGAAAAGAGACCAACAATCTAAATAATCTGATAATTACACTAGAGAACAGGAGAATGTCACACATACATATATATGTGTATACACACACACACACACACACACACAGGTTTTACCAGGCAGGAGTTGGCGCACAGGGGACGGACGGCCGGTTTGAGACGCCGACGGAAGAATTCCCCCAGATTCCTGTAGTGGATTAAATCCTCCACGGCGGCTTCCTATTGGACGAGAGAGACATGTGACGAACAATCGGGAGGAAGCAGCAGCAGGATCATCATTGCACCTTAAGATCAAGCGTCTCAAGCAGGGATGCATTTGGTACTCGTCCACGATGAGATGAGGGATGAAGATGAAATAGAGACATAAGACACGAGGCTCAACGACATGACATCATCATCATCGAGTGTCCTCTTCTGTCTCGAGCGTTGGATCAACGTGTCCGACAGGCGAAGCTTCCTCACCTGCATGTTCACCCCGAAGGTCCAGATGTAGAGCGAGTAGACGGGCTTGCGGAGCCAGGTGGGGAGCTCCACGCCGTTGAGGCGACCCCAGGCCCGAGAGAGGAGGCGCGTTGGGAAGGAGCGGTAGAGCGCCACCTGGGGAAACAGAGGGGAACTCCAGGTAAGATCTCAACCAGAAGGATGGCTTTGAAAATTCAACTGGTGTAGAAGGAGGAGGAGAAATGGGAGGAGAAGAAGAGGAAGAGGTGGATCATTGAGGGGTAAGAGAAAAGAGGAGAAAGAAATCTCCCCACTCCTCTTTATGGCGCCAGGATTTAGGCACACAAATCTTGTACATTCATCTTTGCTTTGATTAACAAATAAAAGGACATTATTATATGGGTTTGGTTTTAGATCTTTATTTGTCATTGTACTGAGTCAGTACAAACATTAAAATGTCAACAAACTCCGGCTAAAATGCGATTAATAAAACCATAGCACAATTGTTAAAGTTCATTGTGTAGAGAAGTGTGGGAAGGGACCAGCGGGGGGACATGATCGGCTTTATGGGAATGCTAAAGGGAATTGGACTGTACCAACTGTGACGTATTAGAGGGCTCATTGGACAATGTGATGTCGTGATCAAGGCGATTTGGTTTAATATAATTCTTTTTGCATTGACTAAAGTTCATCCATGGCTCTAGTTTTAGTTGAAGGTATTGTTTTCATTCCAGGGTTTGTGTTGTTACTGTTGTGAAAAGCAGTATTGTTTAGTCTCCCCTCTGTTTCACGGTGCTGGTCCCTCTTAGAGGTTCCGGGACGGGGAGTGTGTTTGTATACTGGATTTCTCCCATGACGTAACCCGAACGAAGACAGCGTTTGCTCCTTTTTCCTCCCTAATGAGGCTTGTTCACGTTCCTCCTCCTCCTCCTGCAGCAGAAGGAGGAGGAGTAGTTGCCGGATGACATCATTGCTCGGATACAGAAAACTTCACTGGAGATGAAATATGGCGCAGAGGAGTTTAATTTGAACTTTGTTAATAAGTTCAATAAACTGACGCTTTAATGAGACAAAAGTAAAGATGAAAACCAGAATGAAAAGGAGGAGGAGGAAGGAGAAAGCAGCAAAAAACAACTAACCAAATAAAAAAGAGAAAAGAAGAAACTAATATGGTAGTTTCTGTCCCTCCCCTTTTCCCTTTGTCCAATCAGAAGCCAGCAGGCCACCGCTCTTACCCGCTTAGCCAACGGCCGCAGAGCGCCGACCGACAGAACATAGCAGAGGAAGGCGATTGGCCGACGGCGCCACGGGACGGGTCGAGAGGCGGCTCCGCTGAGCACGCTCAGACGGCGCCGGAGGGCGGCGCGAGGCACCTGCAGCCTGAGAGTGACGACATGTAACGAGACTTCACGCGAGGTTACAGAACAGTGAGAGGAAGTGAGATCCAGAGTTCAGTTGAGATCTACGTGTGAGGATATTTTTATAAGTAATTTTATATTATTTTTAAATGGTGGTGGAGGCGAAGATAAAAACATTTGAAATGAGGAGGTTTGACACCAGAGGTTCATTCAGCTGCCAGACAAAGAAAGCAAAACAATGAGGACGTGAAAGGAAGTAAATAGTAAATAAATATAAACAGAAAGCATGTAAAAACATGGAGGAATGAGGGCAAATAGTAGCGGGTGGGCGTGGCCATGTTTGAAAGGGGCGGGGCCTATCGATGAAGGGCGTGAGGAGGAGGAGCGGACGCTGGGGGAGCACAACTATGCTAAGCTACAGTAAAGCCAGCAGACATGCTAACGATTACCCTAAGACATTTAGCCAGTTTCTGCTTCTGAGAGATATAAATCAAACTAAAATAGCTCACTTTCATGTTAGCGATTTTCTTTACCTACGAAGTAACCAACACCAAACCATGAAGTTAATGACAATCAATGATATAGAAATAAAGTAAATGTAATACTTTCGGTAAATAAATATGCATTAGTGTATACACACACATATATATATATATATATATATATATATATATATATATATATGTATAATGTCAGTGTCAACATGTGTAATTACACACACATGTTGACACTTTCCTTTAACATAACCACATTCTCCTCAGTGAGGAACCAGCTTAGCATTTTAGCATGTTAGCAAATGATCAATCAAAAAGGCTAACCCGAGCGAAACTAGGCTAACGCTAAAATAGCTGACCTGTTAAACAAGCCGTCACCATAGTAACGCCCCCCCCCCCCCTACACACACGCACACACACACACACACACTAATCTGTAGGGTGTAAACCCTCACACGTCTCTCTCTCGGGCTCTAACCTGGACCTTCTGTCCTCTTGAGGAACCCTTTTAACATCTCGTCTTTAACAAATCATCTCTACTGTCACACTTATTCTACCTCTCCCACCTGAATCTCGCTGTAGCTCTCGCCCTAAATCCTCCTCCTCCTCCTCCTCTTCCTCCTCCCTCCTCCTCCTCTCCCTCGCCATCGGTCGCGTGCCGCCGACGCCGCCGCCGCCGCCGCTTCACCTGCCGCAGCACGTCGCGCTGCTGCCGCGCGCCGCCGCGGCACGGAGGAGAGAACTTTACCATGAGCGGGTCGCTGATGACGTAGAGAGAGACGGCCGGTGACACATGATGACGTCAAAACACCAGCGGAGGAAGAAGAAGAAACGTCCACTGCTCCGGGAGCAGAGAAGAAGTGACGCAGAGCGCGAGGCAGAGATGAGTAAGTAGAGAAGAGTCCCGCCCCCTCACCCCTCCTCACCCCTCCTCACCCCCCCCCTCGTTGAGATACAGACTGCGTAGTAAATATAAAGTTCAAACAGATCATTCAATATGTATTATATACACATGCATTACAGTAAAATAAGCCGTTCATTGTCTATGTATTTTGTATGTATATGTGTGTGTATTTTAAAACATACAACATGACAGTTTATTAGTGGTATTTATTGGTATTCTTGGATTATATGTATTATAACAAATAAAATGATGCATATCATTTAAATATAATACTTTAGATCGCTTTATGTAAATCAATTAAATGAAAAATACTTAATACTGTAAGGCCATTGATATTAAGTTTGTTTTTTGAGTCCACGGGTTGTATGAATAATTAATAGATACTTTACATTATGTAAAGTCACGTATGTATTGCAATAAATGGACGTTGTCACAGTGACGAGGCTCGTTGGTTTGTGGACGTTTTAAAGCCTCGACTTCGATTAGGCTGTTTTTGTGCAACCAGTGAACAGGAAGTGACCATATATGGAATAAGCAGCGGTGCCCGGAGACCTGTCAATCAGCGCTGAGCTCTGCTTTTAAGTGCTTCAGTTGAACAGAATTTAAATTTAGGGATTAAATATAATGTTCAAATGCAGTGTCAGAAACTATTTTTAATTTGACGTCCATTTGACGTCCATTTTCTCATCAGTTTATTATTTATTTTATGATTCGAGAGAAATATGAAAATATATAATACATAAGATCAAAACAGCTTTAGAATAATTCATAAATCTAATGGATTAACTCATTAGAAACATTATCAATTATAATTCAAATACATGTTTTATATAATTCATTTCAAGTGTGTTTAACTTTTGTCACTCATTGATCAATGGATCACCTCATTGAACGGACCAATAAAGAGACGGGGGGGTCAGTGTAAAGTGAGATCATCGTCACCTTTCCCCCAGTGGACCAACTCTGTGCTCAGGTCATCAGAGGATCCAAAGAGTGTCAACAATGTTACATCATCTCTTATAACCTCACAATAAAAGCTTTTATTGTGGAGGGGCAGAAGCAACTTCACACGGCTGCAACTAACTTAATAACAGAAAAAGAAGAAACAGCTGAGAACTAAACAGGAAACAAGCAACAAACAAACTAATTCTGTCACCAGTCCGATCAACATCAAGCCTCCAGCAAGGAACAAGGAACCACATCCTGGTCCTTCACGTGACGTCATGAGATCACAGGATGGGAGAGGTTGACGTAGTCGTCATGCTGCCACATCGGTTTGTAGACACTTTGAAGCCTTGTGTTCTGCGATTTGTCCTTCCCCGTCATGTTTGCAACCCGTGAACAGGAAGTGACCATATAGAGACTGAGGAGGACGTGGAGAAGGCGTATTCGTCTCTGGTAGAGACCTGTCAATCCGCGTGTAGCCCCGCCCTAAAGCATCCCTGCTTAATGGTCTGTTTGACTCTAAATGTGTCCATTTCAGTCACTAAAGTCACTAAATTAACATCATGTTGTATTGAAGAAGACTTGAAACTAGAGACTGAGACATAAACTCATGTTTACAACGTTTACTGAGGGAATAAATCAAGAGAGAAGTAGAGTCATTTCCTCATAGACGTCTATGGGAGCAGAGGAGTCGCCCCCTGCTGGTCACTACAGAGAAGTAGAGTAATTTCCTCATAGACGTCTATGGGAGCAGAGGAGTCGCCCCCTGCTGGTCACTACAGAGAAGTAGAGTCATTTCCTCATAGACGTCTATGGGAGCAGAGGAGTCGCCCCCTGCTGGTCACTACAGAGAAGTAGAGTCATTTCCTCATAGACGTCTATGGGAGCAGAGGAGTCGCCCCCTGCTGGTCACTACAGAGAAGTAGAGTCATTTCCTCATAGACGTCTATGGGAGCAGAGGAGTCGCCCCCTGCTGGTCACTACAGAGAAGTAGAGTCATTTCCTCATAGACGTCTATGGGAGCAGAGGAGTCGCCCCCTGCTGGTCACTACACAGGATGCGGAGGCGTAGTATGATTAAGTGTTCTCAAACACAGGCAGTCGTTATGGAGATAACTACTCCTCAGTCACACCTCTGCAGCACCGGGCGGTCAGCCTCGTCTTCTGAAATGCTCCGCTGGTACCAGTGTAGGAAATTTACATTATTTAGGGCGCATTTTTTCCCCCACTGACTCAAAACCAGAGACATTTCATAAGAAATCAGGGGCATTTTTTAAACCTGTGAAATAGCATTTAATCTTTGTTAAAAATAATAAATATACTTATTTGGGCTTCCTATACATGCAATTGTCATCAAATGGCGCTCCATTTTTATTTAGAGAACGATGTTTTTGACAAGTTAATTAAATTATTATTATTTATTATATTTTGTTCTTTGCCCTTTCCGAAACTGGCTGGTATTCATGTCTCCATAGTGTTTATATGTGAGCTATAACTATACTATAACTAGGCTTATACACACACACACATACATACATACATACATACATACATATATATATATATTTATATAATATGAGATATAAGAGTATCCCCTACCATTATAATGGTATAACATGAATACGACCGCTTTAGGTATAAAGGGCCTGTGTATGTCCTACCTGCGTGGGCGTGGCTAAAACAGGCGGTGCTCCTTCCGGTTGTTCACGCCACTTGTATTTATGATAACCAAGGTAACCGCCACTTGACACTAACAGGAGGGGGAGGGGCCAACGATTGAGCAGGAAAGTGCGACCTGCAGAGAGAGAGAACTGATTGGTCAATGAAACCTGATTCGACGCAGAAGCATAAACTAGGCTTAAGAAGTAAACAGGAAGTGAACCGGAAGCGCTGCAGACAGACTCACCTGTGCTCGCTGCTCTCTGCTGGCTGCAGCTCCGAAGACTCACTCTAAAAGTAAACAAAACGTTTCCGAGTTCAAATTCAATTTAACAGGCATTTTAAATACATTTAAGTATTTCAGTCGTCACGTTTAAGTTACTTCACCTGTTAACATGAGGAAAACAGGTAAATATTTTCCTAAACCTTTATAACTTTATAACAATTCACACACTCGTTCCTCGTCTGACGTCACATTGAACTCACTGTTTGACTACTACTCAATTAACGTAAACGTCACGTGTGACTTTACAGCGTCAGGTGGAATCACAGCCTGGTCAGCGTCACGCACACATTACGTCACCCTGTCGTTACGTTTGATCCACGCACAAGGGACCGCGTCACTGTCTGACGTCGAGCTATTAGCTTTAATCCAACAAATAATGAACGTAATACCTCCCGGTCACTCCGCCGCACACCCTCCTCAAGGCCGCCGCCATGTTGTCTGCGTAGGTGACGTAAGCACGTCGCAGGTCAGTGGGGAACAATTCGCCCTGAGTGCAGGCTGCCAGGTAAACCACGTAAGGCGTTCTGCCCTAAGTGAATAGTCAATAAGGAAACTATCCGAATAGTTCAGTATGCAAACGTTTTATAACCGGAAACACTGGAGCAAAAGCGTGTGATGTGAGGGGTCGTCTGAGGGAGCAGCTACCTGCGAGGCGAAACTGAGGGAAACAAAGAATAGCGTGTTTATAAATAAAGTTATTTTAAATGGTGACTATGGCAACAGCGAATTAACCCTGCTTATTAACATTACATGTGCTGTTCGTTTTGTGTAGAAAGCCAATCCCCCTATCACACTCCAACTAAAACATTTTAAGGTTAACGTCATGTGTTTGTATATTTACACACATTCTTAATACTTTAATCGCTTCATGCTTTATTATAGGATGTCTGCAGCAGACCAACAGATTCAAGTTTCAGGGTAAAAAAAACATTCTACAATTAAATCAAATGTACCGGGACGCAGTGTGATTGTGGCTCGTCATCATATTGAACCATTTTCATTATTATAAATGACGTCTAAAAGCTTATGGATCAAAAGTTGTTGCTCACCAGTATTTTATTATATTCTCGTTTCACAGCCTTTGTCTGAACGTTTAGTTCTTCAGGAAACTTTAAAATAATATTCTATAATTCACAAACAACATTTCTGAACACTTTTAAGTAAAGGCAACATTCATATTTGTTGATAAACAAATGTTTTCACAAACTGTTCACCAATTAGTTAACTATTAATTACTGATCAATAACTGATCACTAATAAAAGGACACAATTCAGTGAGCAAAAACACTTTTATCCGTTCCAAAAATAGACACATTTTCAGCAGAAATATATATACATTACACTTATATTAACACCAGCCGTACGGAGTACTCGGACAGTATTTCAAAGTACTACAAGTGTGAACAGGTGTGAAATATTTTTATATTTGACCAAAGACAAAAAATGTAAAAATAAACACAAAGCCCCCTGTGGGCGTGGCCTCCCAACAGGTGTTCATTTAAAAAAATAGTGAAATTAAATATTTCAGAGAATTCACATTTAAACAGTTTAGAAAAAATGAAAAGAAGTAGAAACAAGCTCCACCCGTCCGATTTGTAGCAAGTGTTCTAGCAGGTCAGTTTTATTTGGCCAATGGTCAGCGGAGAGGAAGTGATGTCACAGCTCACACCTCCAGGCCCTGCCGTGTCAGGAAGTCCTCCAGTGCACTCAGTCGCTCCACGAGCATCACGTCCAGGTCCGCGTCGTCGTCAACGGGGCCGTTGCCATGGCAAAGTCGTCGTGCCGCCACCCGTTTCCGGGGCACCATGGCAACAGGAAGGCCTGCCCCTAAAAAAGACATTTACATTTTACATTTTTCTTTCCTTTTTTTCATAATTTTTCAGTGAATTAAAACATTTTGTTAAAAATATCGAATAAATATGTCTGTTGAGTGGTTTAACACCCTAAAACACGGAAATCCAGATGTTTTCACATGAATATAAAATAGATATTAGAAATTAATGTGTTTCACTTCATAACACTAAACTCGATTTAGCTGCATCAAAATACAATTGTGTTTCTAAAACACTATAAATTACTGTAACAAAGTAAAAGTATATCATTTAGTATAGTTTAATGTCTTCCCGTTTACATTGACGTCATGTTTGCAGCAGGTGCAACTGATTAGGCACATAGCAGTTTTTGGTGTTTTTAGTTAACGCTTTTTGCTGCGTGAAATAAACACCAAACAAAAAGAACTTAAAGATCTCCGGTCATTCGCGTAAAGAAAATGAACTGTCTGCAGCTCAATAGTGTACGTCACCGAAGGAACAAAGCAACCCGATCAGGAATCTAAAAGTAATATTTGCTCTTTTTTTTATTGATCCCATTTGTGAGTTTTCATGATCTGATGCACCGTGGTAATATGTCCAGGGCTTTTATTGTGAAGGGTAAGAACAGAGTGAGCGGCTTTAGTATTTCCCAGCATACCTTGCGGCCTCTTACGCTTCCTGGGTAAAGTAAAGTCAGGGAAGAGGAGGAGCCTGCGTCTTCTCTGCTGGCCAATCAGGAGCAGCGCACCATTTTTTTCCCGTGGCTCCTCAAAGATTGTCTCCAGACTCCTGAGAGTTGGAAAGAAAAGCATGCTGGGAGATGTAGTTGGTACAGCAGTTGGATGCAACGTCATAAATGTTTGAATTAAGTCTTTGTAGTTTCTACCTGTTTGTTGTGGGGGATTTGTAGTTCTTGTTGGTGTAAATCTCCTCAAGACTGAACTCTTTCTTCTTTGACCTGAAAAGAAATCTAGTTCAATAATTTTATCCTTTACTCAGATGTTCTCTTTGTATACTTTACTCTATTCACCCCTCATCCTCTACATCACCTTTTGACCTTTGGTAGTCCCATCGGAGTGAGCGGCGTTTCCCGCGGCGATGCCCGGCGGATTCGTATCTGTGAGACTCGTTTACATCGCTGAGAAGACAGAACCAGAGCAGAAGATTTGAGACAGCGAAGAAAAAAAGAGGAAAGACATAAGGCAATAAAATAGAGTAGAAGAGATATTAAGAGAACACCAGAGCAGGACGGTCACAGCCTTGGACATCGCTCTGTGTGGACACTAGAGGAAGGCTTGTTGGCTAGCACGTTAGCCACGTTAGTCAATGCATGGATGCGAATGGTTGCGGAGGAAGCAAATTTTCACCAGAGACACACACAGCTGAGGCTGAACGCCTGTAAGTCAGCTGGTGTCTGGCAGTCTGGCAGAATGACCACTGTCTTCACAGAGACAAGCTACACCCCCTTCCCGGCACGTATGAAGCAAATTAACTACAACTAGTCGGGCAAGTAAACGCGCGCGAGTAAAGCGTGGCGAAAAATTTGCTTGGCTTTTGGTGTGAACGCAGCAGCTTTCGTGAAGGAGTCCGATCTTTTAGCGCCACTGACTTATTGTCACAAAGACAGCTGGAGTTGTACTTTCTTCTATTTCTTTTGGAAAAACTATTAACTTCCACAAGACAAGAAGAAAATCGCCACCTCTCTGTTTGTGCCAAGTAACTCAGAGCCCGTTTCTGATTGGCCAACGTCAAGTGGAGCAGCAGACAGCCCATTGGCTGAACAGAGGGGGAGGGGTCGTCGCTGTGGGAGGTGGAGGCTACTGCCGCTGTGATTGGCTCGTTGCTTCTGCTGTCGCCGGGCAGAAAACGTTTGACTGCAACAGAAACAGAGAAATATTTGTTGTTATTTTTACGTCCTATTTATAGCACATACACTCATAAAAACAAAATGTAAGTATAACTAATAGACTAACAATAAAACTGTCCATTCACGTGTTTTATTTAAATTACCTTTGCGAAGGGGTTCGTCCATAACTGAAAAGAGAAGGAACATATAGGACTTTAATGATGGGAGCTGCATTAAGAAGCTTGTGTGGTGATCAAAACTCTTATGGAGAAGTAAAATGTGTCTCCACAACATACAGACCTTACGAAGTAGACGCTGTCAAGGTGGTAGTTTATGGATGTTATGAGTCTTGCATATTGTCCCTCACCAACTAGGATTTTAATCAACCAGTGAAGAGGAAGTGACCATAGACGGACTGAGGAGGACTAATACATATCTGACCTGTCAATCAGCCTCAGCTCTGTTTGACTCTAAATGGACCAAAATGAGAGTCTACAGACCAATGAGAGACCATGACAACGTCCCCTCCTTATTAACAGTCTGTAGTTTGCTAAATTTATTTTAAATAATCATCGCGGCGCGTCCAGTGGACGGAGCTACTTGTCTTATGTGTGGAGATTGAGTCATGGTTATAACAACAATGAATAACCCACAACAAACACTCTTTAGCATCGTAAAACACCACAACACAACAACTTGTGCCCCTCAACTATTTGTAACACTAATTATTGTACGTTTATAAAAATTACCCTGCCAAACTGCATGCTGGGTACAGCTCAAGAAGGAATTTGGATTATGGATTTTTGGCCATACCACCCAGCCCTAATGCGTGTGTGTGTGTATTAATGATATTAATAAAGGGCTTAACCAACCAGTGGTCTGTGCTCAGACTAGGCGGGACCGTGAAGTCTTTCAGGCTCCGCGGGAGACTAATAGCCCCGCCCCTCACAGCCGAGGACATTGTCTCCACGGCAACCGCGGATAGTCGCAGCATGGGGGCGGGGTTAAAGGAGGAAGGAGACAGGTGACATATGCTGAAGGCCCCATGATTGGAGAAGAGGGAGAGTGGAGCGGCAAAGTCCGAGAAACGCCATTGGCCTGGAGAGATGTATGGGGCTTCTGATTGGCTGCAGGTCCCATCACTCCAGGCCAACTGGAGGAGTTGCAGTGCTTGATGGGAAGAGGAGCTGAGGAGAAAAGGAGGAGGAGTTCATACTTTTTATGAATATTTTTTATCACTATAGCATAAATAAAGTTAACTGTAATATTACATTTGGTTTTTTTTATACACTTATTACACCTTACAATTTTTACTATATTATTGTTATTCAAAAAATGTACAGTTTATAAAATCCACATGTTCTTTAAATATATCTAACATAATTATAATAAATTAATAGTAAATTGTGTATTATATTTTTGGTTTAATTGTATACAAATATAGTTTGGTTGTATAGTGTTTTTACAATAGTTACCATAGTTACTATGGTAAGAAATCATTATTTGCAATGTATAGTTTCTTCAAATCTGCCTTGGATATTTATTTATTTAATATTTATTAAAAAAATAAAAACTCAAATACATCGTCATATGTATTGCTTCGACTTTTATTTAATCGAATAATTATTGGTAATATTTTTTTTTCAATGGAGACTTACTTTGTCTTTAAAGGTACTACAGATTAACTATACTATAATTACATTACATTAATTTGTCCTTTCACAAACGTAATTGTGTAACGTAAATGTAATTCAAAAGTATCCTAAAGAAATGAAAACTAAAGTAAATAGATGAAATGAACCTGGGTATCGTAGCTGTGTATCCATTCTGCCTGACGACACTGACGGATTTCTCTGATTGGCCGGCTCCTTCCACTTGTCTTCTTCGGTATTTTCTGTGGTTGAATCTGTGCAGAGTGAGCAGTGCCTCCTCCTCCTCTGCTCCTCCTCTGAAGGAGAACGCCATCCGCCCCACAAACCTCCGGGCGTCTTCATCGTCTTCTCTGTTTTCTGGAAGAGTACAACGGTCTCTTCCTCTGTGGTTCTTCCTCCTTTTCCTTAATCTCCCCTCCTCCTCCTCTTCCTCCTCCTCCTCCTCCTCACCTCTGCTCCTTCTCCGCTCTTTTGATTGGCTCAAACTAGCTGGAAGAGGAGGTTCTGGTGAGTCTCTGCTCACTGATGAAAATGATGAAGGGGAGCTGGTAACAGTTGGGTGGTGGGCGGGGCTACCCAATGGGGCGGGGCTTAATGCTTTAAAACCTAAAGAAGAACAGAGAAGGAGGTTTTGAAACGTACTAAATGAATTGTTTATAATTAATATGTGGATAATATTGTAAAATGTAAATCTACTCTTGTATTGATCGCCATGGCAACATTTCTTTAACCCTCAGAGTGTTGTTGTTGATGGTCCTCTGTAGATCACATGATCATCAGACTTCAGAACTCACCAGGAGAACAGGAAGCCCCTCCTTCTTCTGCTTCCTGCCTGCCACTCTTCTTCCTCCTCTTCATCCTGCTGCTTCTCTCTAAGGAGTCCAGGCGACGACCAATGGTGGCCAGAGCGCCTCGTAGGAGGCGCCGCATTTCCTGCCGGTGAGCTGAGAGGAGGCGGGGCAGGAGGGAGGAGCAAGGGCAGCAGAGAGGACCAGCTATAGAAGGAGGAAGAGACTGAGCTACAGGAGAAGGAGGAGATGACGCTACAGGAGGAGAGAGAGCAGAAACTTGAGTAGCAGGAGGAGGAGAAAAAGAAACTGCTGGAGAAGAATGAGGAAGAAGAGAGGAAACTGGAGTAGCAGGAGGAGGAGAAACGTGAGCGGGAGGAGAGGAAGAAGGAGGAGAACAAATAGCCGAAGCACGATGGGTAAAAAGGACAGGGGGAGGAGAAACATGAGAAGGAACTGAAGAACAAGGAGGAAGCACTGGAGAAGAAAAAACAGAACCAGGGGGAGTACAGATATCCAGAGGAGATTGAGGTGAAGGATGGAGGAATGAAGAGAGAGAAGACGAAAGGGAACAAGGAGCAGGAGCAACAGAAGAAGGAGATTTACAGGAGGGTGAAGAACCAGAACCAGAAGGATGAAGAAAAGAAGGAACCACACAAGGAGACGGTGAATTAAAAGCAGAAGAGGAGACAGAAGGAGCAGCAGGAGGCAGAGATATGAGGGATGGAGGGACAAGAGGAGAGGAAAGAGGAGGACCAGTGGAGAGAGCAGAGGAAATAAGGGAAGGAACGACAGAAGCTGAAGGAGGAAAGAGAAGGGACGCAGGAGGAGAAGGAGCATAAAGATTTGTAGATGAGAAAGAAGGAAGGGTATATGGTGGAGGAGAGAAGGGAAAGGAGGGAGGAGCTAGGGAAGGATCAGAGGAGGATGGGAGGACACAAAGAGGTAGAGGAGGAGAGGAAGAGGAACTCCACGGAGGAGCTGAGAAGGAAGGGAGGACACAAAGCGGGAGAGGAAGGTGAAGAGAAGCACCATGGTGAAGCAGCAGTCATTACTTAATAAAATGAATTAATATTGAAAGGAATATTTACAGCAATTAATAATAATAGTAAACCCACCTCTTTGTGTGTCTTCGTCATCATCGGCCAATGGGAGGGAAGGGGGTGGGGTCAGGGTGACAAGACCACGCCCCCTGTCATCGCTCTTGTTCAGTGTCAGTGGTCGAGTGAGCATGTTTACAAATACCTGACAAGAAATAATACATATGAATCAAACTTAAGAAACATTTGACATACATTTATTATATGTATATATTATACATATAATAACATATGTTTTTGTGTTACATAAAGCAGAATGTGCTTTCCAAGTTGGACCTTTAGCTTTGATGACAGCTTTGCAGCCTTCCTTCAACCATTAAATAAGAAGAAACACTTTTGTATGTATGCATGTATGTAAATATATGTATGTATGTATGTATGTATCTTTACATACATGCATACATACAAGATTATTATTGCATGCATCACAACTGTGAAGGAACACGTGTAATTTTCTTTCTATTTTGTACCTTTTGCTTTAATATATATATATATATAAAAATAAGTTGTATGAATCTCTCATTCTCGCGAGATTTCAGCTATCCCTCTTTTGGAAAAATCCCAGAAATGTTCCTGTAAACCTGATTCTTTTTACGCTGTCAGCCGAATATCGGGTGATTCACGGTTTCACGGTTTGACGTCGTCCTCACTGAATGTCGCGTGACGTAACGCGAAGGGGAGGTCAGCGGAAGTGGGGATGCTGCGGGTCGAAAGGAGGATAAACGGGATTCGGGGCAAATAAGAAGGAAGCTGCTCGAGCTAGCGGCGGCTAGCTACCGTTAGCAGGCGTTCCTGTGCGTGTACCCGTTGACCGGGGCATTTGAACGGGTGTTTTACCTTCTTCACGCCCCGCGGCTCCCTTAGGCTCCGTTAAATCCTGCCGGCTCTCATTTGGGGCGGTTTACCGGCTGGAAAGGCCGCAGCTGGCGGGTCCTTCCAGGAATCGGTGCTTCTGTTGTCACCGCAGACCGGCATCAAGTCGACGGAACCCACACAGCGGACTTCCGGTGGACAAAACAAACGTCCACGAGCGAGAGGAAACTGCTTTTCTGTTTGTCTGTTATTGCTTTTATGTCTTTGAATGGATGTTTTATTGCTTTTCTTTATATTTTATGGAGTTGCAAATGTAGTTGTTCATTAATTTCTTTTAAATGCTGTTTGTTATTAGAGGAAGTCACATGTTCAGATGCCCAGTTCGATGTTCCATGTCAGTCAAACGTTTTACTTTTGTCCAATCAGGATGCAGCGCTTGTGATCTCTGACTGACCTCTGATCAGTCTGGACTTTTATTGTTTGCTTGTTGTCCGAGCAACTTTCAGTTTGTTCAACATCAGAAAACGGAAATAACTTGACGAAGGATTGTTTTTGTTTTTTATCCATGATTCGTAGCTACAAGTTTATGGAGCAAAATCCAGGTCAAAAGTTTTGTTCATTTGAAAAACAAATGTGAACCTGAAAGTTCAAGTTTTGAAAAACACAACAATGTATTCAAAATAAAAATAAGTGGATGAAAAATATTTTCGGGATGAATATAGTTTTGACTCAGCTCTATATTTTTTTTAAATAAAATATTTTTTTTTCAATCTTCACTTAAATATATTTTTTGGTTGCAGATTTTATGTTTTCAGATTCAAAATTTAGATTTTTTTCAACATTCAGACTTTTCACCGTGATGTGGCGTAGGGGGCGGGGCATCACCCGGGAGGGAGTGTCATTATTTTGGTTGTTGGAAAAATGGAAGATTAGACAATTAGACATTAGTAGTCAGATTACCCCCAACGGTAATCTGATTACCCCCAATGGTAATCTGACTATGCTGAATAGTAATCTGATCCTGCTGAAACAGAAAAGCAAACATCAGTCACTTTAAAGAAATGAGCTGACTTGTTTTATTTACGGTTTTATTGTTTTCATTTTGTACAAACAAAACAAGCTCCGACCCCTAAATTCAGAAGCAAAAGGATTAAATCTTTACTTTACCCTTTCACTTTAACACTTTAAAAACAGATTCATTTCACCCTCTGCTGATCAATACAAAATAAAACTAATCAGTTGGACGTTCAGTTACCGTGTTGATGGCGAATCAGAGAGCAGAAAATAAGGAATTTGTACTTTTAATTCATGAAAACAGGAACCAACAGGAAGCGATCCAGAGTAAAAATAAGCGTGACTCTTCTGTGACGGAACCATACAGAAATCCAGAATTATGACACCAGGATTCACTTCATACTGACGATAAAGATATTCACTGTTCAGGAAGTAAAATACAAAATAAACCTAAGAAAAAATAAATAAGCTGTAACAAATAACATTAAACAAAACAAAAAAGACCAAAAAAAAAAAATCTATAAAAAGAAGGAACATCTATGCAGTCAAACTTTTCTCCTCAGGTTTTAAATTATTTTCTTTCCCTTCACATTTCACTTGAAGATATTTTGAGATTTTTTTTAACAATAAAACAATTAGAGAAAAAATTGAAATAAATGTTTTGTGTTTCCTGTTTATCTTCCCGCGACTCGTCTGGCTCCTCAAAAGGCCTCGACTCTCAGGTTGAGAACCTCTAAAAAAAATAATGAAACAGCTGTCGTTTTCTGTTGTTCAAGAGCTGCACAGAGAGGATTCTGTGAAACAGTGAATGTTCAAGAGAAAGAACTTGCATGACGGCACCTGGTCACGCGTGTTCCTGTGCTGTGATGTCACTTCTGTTGTTACGCGAGATCATCAAAATAAATGTTTTTTTAATTCGATATTTTATTCTCATAAAAAGTCATGATGCAGATGATCATCAACTTGCTCGTTTTTGTTCATAACAACATAAAACAGGTACCCAGCCCAAAAAATACATGACTTTCAAAATAAAAGCCCTAGCAGGCCAACAGGACACAACATCATGGGATCACCTGCGATACCGACCCCTCTCCTTGTCCCTCTCTCTCTCTCGCTCTCTGTCCCTCCCTCGCTCGCGCTCCCTCTCGCGCCGGGGTCCTCCGCGCTCGCGTTCACGCTGCCGCTCGCGCTCTCGCCGACTGCTCACCACCGCTTGGGTCCTCCGCAGGAAGTCGTCCACGCGCATGTCGTAGTCGTGCTGCATGATGGCAAAGAAAAACAGGAAAAACGACGGGTCAGAGAGAAACGATTTTAATCAAACAAGTTAAATAAATAGTAGTCACAGTACACAGTAGAGTACACAGTAGAGTACACAGAGTACACAGTAGACTCACCGGGCTGGAGGTGAAGGCGCGGTGCTGAGGCGCACGCTGCTTGTCTCTAAAGCGAGGGGGCGGAGCTTCGTGCGGCGGCAATGGGGGGTGGTGGTGGTGATGGTAGGCTTGGTGAGGCGGAGGCGGGGGGTGGTTGTCCTGGTAATATTTGTTGTGGTGGGGGGGCGGCTGCTCCACGCCGGGGTAAGTTGCCTGCTGATACAACATGACATCATCACTAGATGCGTCTAATAACCTGATCAACAATCAATAACGGAGAAAGTCTTACCAGAGTCTGCCAGGGAGCCGGAGGGCCGACGCTGTGATGATAATCCCGCATGTAGTCGTTGTAGGACTGCAAGAGGGAACACAGGTGAGCTCCTGGATGCAGCTACAGCTAAGCTAGCAGGAAACTACATCACTATTGTAAAGCTAAGCTAACCGGTTAGTGACTCACCCCGTTGAGAAAAACGTCTCGTCTGACGTTGGAGAAACGTCTGAGAATAAAACAAAGGTAAACTTCAATTTACAATCGATAAAAAAAATCAGTTAGATGAAGACAATTTTGAACGATTTTAAGATTAACACTTTTTAACACGGTTCATTAAAACGTTTTGAATCATTAGCGTTGCTTTGGCCCCGCCCACTTCAGGTGAGCGATGAGGTCTCACCTGTCCACCGGCTGGTTGCGAAGGTCCTGGATGAACCCTGAAAATAAAATCGAATAAATTCTATCAAATTTCCCTTTTGTATCGGTGAAGCTGAGCAGCAAGCGATCGATCAAGAGTTATTACGATACACTCAAAAATAAAATAAAAAATAATCAGTAGAATAAATACAGTTAATCAACATTTCAGAGAACACATTCATAAAGTAAACAAATCATTCTTGAATCAAGGATCGTTCAAGATTTTAACTGAAACATATTCAGAAATAAACCAAACGCGCACACAGCTTCATACCGAGTTCACGTCAGTTTACAGGAAGTCATCACGTTATTTTAATGAAAACAATAAAACGGGATAGATCGAATTTGTCGGATTCTCGACCTGCTCGCTGGCTGAAGTCCGGCGGGCCGTCGGCTCGAGGTCGTTTCCTGCCGTGAAGGTCGTACTCTTCAGGGCGACGCCTATGCAGACAAGTTCACAATTAAGACACACACACGCACACTATACCCCCCCACACACACACACACACACTATACCCACACACCCACACACGCCCGGATAACTCAAACACACCAAGAAGAAGCTCCCAAAAAGAAGCTTCCAATCACGAGTCATCTAGATGAGGGGTCACCTGCTGTCGTCACGTCAGCATCACTCCTCGTTTCTATTTTACGTCATCGGATCAAAACAGACCAGTGGCATCTTCTACTGGGCCCGCGGTCTACTGGTTTTACCGGTCCTCTAGTGGTCTACTGGTCCTCCAGTGGTCTACTGATCTTACTGGTCCTTTAGTGGTCTACTGGTCCTCTAGTGGTCTACCGGTCTTACTGGTCCTGCTGTGGTCTCCTTTACCTGTCACCTCCTGGTCAGGTGGAGTGAAGCACTGGTCCTCCTAGTGCTCCAGCATTAGACACAATTTACTTCACACAAACACACACAATAAAAAGATCAAACAAAGAAGGAGGAGCCTCTGAAAGGGTCAACATACCGCTTCTGCAGCATTAGTGTGTGGGGGGTGCGTTTGTGTCAACAACACCAGATTATAAAAGTTTTTCTCCTTATCAGTCCATGTTTAAGGCTTTTTATAAACCCTTTTATTTTGAAAGGGTGGAGGGGGTGGTGGTGATGATGATGATGATGGTGCAGTCTTGTCAATCAACAAACCAAGCCCCGCCCTCTTCCCAGACAAGCAAAAGTCCTTAAAACGTCCGTTGGGGATTCTTTAAATCTGATTTTTCTTTCCTCACACACACACTTGATTTTCAGTTCATAAGAGAGCGACACACAACGAGCTCTGAGTCCTGATTCAGTGTGTGTGTGTTGATGGGGGGGGGGGTCATCTCTTTTTCAGTCCAAGAGAATATCATTTTTTTAATGAAGTCCATCTTTTCCTTTTTGCATCCCTGAAATTTGACCTTATTTGAGCAGGCAAGGAAACCCCGCCCACAAGACACTTCCTCACCCTCTCATTGGATATAGTCCAGAGGCCACGCCCCCTGTGGTGACCAAACATTCTCAGAAGAACAGAAACAGTCCACTGTGAGCTCAGACGTCCCTCTCTTCCTCTCTTTTAGTTTTACCCCGCTCGCCCCTCCCTCACCCACGCCCTCCTCCGTCAGTCCAGCCAGTGACGCTCGTTCCTTTAAGCTTTTATTCTGAAAGGGTCAGCCACAGTCCCGCTAAAAGCCAAACCTTTTGATTTTTTTGTTGTTTTGTTGTTGTTTTTTTTAGTTCCGAAGTACGAAACTCCTGCAAAGAAAAAGAGCTTCAAAAGGAGAAATTTAGCAACAACGAAAAAATCTAACTGATGGAAATTAAAATGTGCATCTTGTTGCTTCACCAAAACTTGGATATAAAAATCAAACTTCTTAGTATTGCTACCTAGTTGAACTTAGATTTAATCTCTTTGTTTATCACCATCGAGGTTCTAATTTCCTGCCTGACCACTTTTTCTCGGGACGTCAACCGAAGACCCGTCACTCCGCTGGAAAACTCCCAACTGGAACAACAACAACCACAACAACCAGCGAACCCGGCAACGCCGGCCCCGGGGGAAGCTAGCCGCCGGTTAATGGCAGCGGCTGTCTCCGTCGTCCGGCAGCAGGTGGCGCCATGGTCGCGGCGGGAGGAGAAGAACAGGCAGCGGAGGAGGAGCTTGGTGATTGGCTAACCTTCCCGGCTCGCGTTGCGGCGGTCGGCCCCGAGGTCGCGGCTCTGACGGCGTCCGGCGCTTGTGGCGAACGCATCGAGCCACTTGGTGGACGTCCACACTCTCGTCCAATGGGAACAGGGCGCAGAGCTGAGCGCCAACTTCTGGTTGGATCTCCTTAATAACAAGAGAGTATTTTAACAAAAATGTTCAAAAGAGAAGGAAAACAAGAGCTAACGGCGAGCTCACCTGTCCGTCGCGTCCGATTTTGACGGGCTTGTGTTCGTTCCAGGGGTTGGACAGGTGAGCGGTTTTGGTGAAGGGAAGCTCTCTCCTGGATGAGATCAAAGCAATCAGTCACACCTCGCAGGCCGCGGGCTAAAGGTCGTGTTGTTGTTATTTACCTGCACAGCCAGTCTATCTTGAAGACTCCGCCTAGCATCTTGGCGTTCATGCCAGCGGGAAGAACCCAGTGGATCGGCGATCCCCCGTGATGAGACTCCGACGCCAACCGGGCGAAACCTGGAAGACAAAAGGAGCTTAAAGACCACTGAATGCTTTAAATCCACGTTTTAACGGATCGGTGTTTTTTTAGGACCTTGGAATTTCCCGCTCTCCCTAACGGAGAAGACGAGGACGACGCTCCGGGCCGAGCGGAATGCAGCGTTCAGCTTCTTCTCGTTCACCGGCAGCGTGGACCAGACGCCCTGTGGCGCAAGAGAAACCACATCAGAAAGGAGGTGGGGGGGGGGGGGGCGGCCATCTTTGAACATTAGCGTACCTTAGCTTTAGCCAGAGACACGTTCTCGTGGTTGTTGCTCTTTATGAGGAAGAACCGAGCATCTCGCAGGATGTAACGTAACTTAGTGGCGGGATCTGAAACACCACAAAGTAATCAGATTACTTTATAGTAAAACCAACAAAGAGATTAAAGTGAACTATGAACATTTAATCACATGATTAGTTATTAGTAACCATTAAAGATGGCGGCCTTACTCTCCATTCCTTTGCGAACAGCTCGGACCGAAGACGACAGCTTCTCGTGCTTCTTCTCTGAACCTTTCAAAATAAAAGAATTAAATTAAGATCTGAAGGGGGACATGAAGGCCTTAATTCACCACGTAACCGTGTACCGCGTCACCATGTTGCCGTGGTTACCTGAGGCCTCAGAGCCGGAGCCCGAGTGCAACGACTCGCCTTCGTCGGTGAAGCTGATGGAGGAGGCGGAGCGGGAGTCCCCGGCCTCGCTGCGAGTGTCGTAGTCGTTCCCCTCGCCGCGGCGCTCGTACTCCTCATCCTCATCCTCTTCCTTCTCTCCTTCCTCCTCCTCGTCATCGTCCTCCTCCTCCTCCATGCCCTCCTCTTCTTCTTCCTCCTCCTCCTCATCCTCTTCCTCATCCTCCTCTTCCTCTGCGTGGGAGGCGGTGGGGGAGGAGCTACCTGAGCCCAGCTCTGAGGCGTACTCTGTCGGTCTCTCCCCTTCGGATTGGTGCTCGCTCTCGTTGGGGGCAGGACTAGTCCGCCGCAACTTCTGAAGACAAACAGGAAGTTCCTTGTGATTGGCTGTGGGACTGAAAAGTGACAGTGAATGTTCTAGTAGGATTAATAGTAGTACCTGGCTCAGACCCTCCACGCCTCTCTGGGACTCTCTCCGTCGGACCTCCTCTCCTCCGCGGCTCCTGGTCGCCTCTCGTGCTCCTCGCCGCCCCTTTCGGTCCTCATAGTACTCGTGGCGGAAGCTGGCGGGGGCGGCGTGGCGGGCGCGGGGGCTGGACGACACCTTTTTGGAGGAGGAAAGAGGTGCCCCCGGGGCTCTCTTATTGGTGGAGGAAGATCTGGAAGGGGCGTGGCCGATAGAGGGGCGGAGCCTCTTCAGGTCCTGACTACCTGAGCCTTCACTCTTCCTTTTTGTTCCTGTCAGACAAAGCGGAGGGTTCTAGTTCCTTCGTCATCAGTTAATACTGAAGTAGTCATAGTACCAGGATGAGTGGTACTACTCTCAGCAAGTAGTAGTGTTGTCAGTAGTACCAATAGCACTATTATCGTCAGTATAGTAATAATACATTCATTCTATATAGTGCTATAAATACCCAGAGTAGTATTATCAGTAGCACTTCACAATGACGGCGGGCTCCACCTCATGGTTGCACAAGTATTATTATGAGTAGTAGTATCAGTATCAGTGGCAGTACAACCTCTTGCAGTACCAGTACTACTATTACATTACAGGTCTGTAGTACCTTTCTTGTCGCTGACGGCTCTTTCCGTCTCCGGGTTGTAGAGCTCGTCGTCCTGATCCGGAGCTTCGGTCAGAATATCTTCCAGAACATTTAACTCTCCATCTGAACAACAACAAATGTATTATGATCGGACTGAAAATCAACATGTATCATAGTAGTAGTAATAGTAGTAGTCACACATCCTCAATCTGCACTTTTCATAATAATGAATCATTGATCAATCAGATGCAGCTTGGATCAGTCCGCCCCACTGGACGAATGATCGGCTCGTTGGATCGATAGTTATATTATACGGTCTGTGTCGGTGGGTCGCGTGCTGCAGCTCGTTGACTAGCTCACGTGCGACGCCGTCACCAATCACTAACAAGTTCATTGATAACGAGTATCGATTCGCCAGTGAAAGGAAACGGGTCTGAACGGAACAAAGACAGTGAACATGCTAATGCTAACAGAAGCCGCCTGCTCGTGGCTCACCTTTGTCTTCGCGCCGGTCGGCCGCCATTGCAGCAAATCTGACGTCACTCCCGCCTCGCGCTCAGGCAGAGCTTCAGATTTAAAAGATTATCAGTTTGTTGTTTGAGTAAAACACAAAACAATCAGAAAAACCGACCGCAGAGCAGCCAAAAGGAGGAAAATGGCGGAACGAGACTGTTGTTCTAGCTTCTTCTTCTTCTGTTGACTTACGAGTACATTTCCGGCAAACGACCGCCAGCTTCCGCCTCAGCGGGGCTTTGTCTGCAACGTCGCCTACTACTGAAGGCTAACATTCTTATACATACTATTGAATACGATTAACCAGAGTAAGCTTGCTAGCTAGATGTAATGTATGCAATTAACAAATGTGTGTTTCTATATTAGGACATTATGAAACGACCACGGACAATTACAGTTCCTCAAACGCAGTAAAAAAACAAACACGAAACAGAATTGTATCAATGCCTTTTTATTAAACATAGAACAGATACAAATCAAAAATTGCATCAACTGCTGAAATGACGGTTTTCTTCTGTGTGTTCCAACTAAATAAAATCAAACGGGACCTCAAACCGGGAAACATGCCAAAGCAGATAAGATTTTGTTTTGAAAATCCCATACAGGAAAGGGTTCGTCAAACATCGCAGCCCCGTCAGTCCAACCGGAAGTCCACGTCATTACTAACGGCAGACTTCCCGAACTGAAGCGGTTTCATTTCAAACCCGTTGTTGAATTATTTTCGTTAATTTTTGGGACTAAAAATGGCGGACGACGCCACGCGCAGGGTGGTGTCGCAGATTCCGCTGCTGAAGACGCACGCCGGGCCGCGGGACCGCGCGTTGTGGCCACAGCGGCTGAAGGAGGAGTACCAGGCACTGATCCACTTTGTGGAGCAGAACAAGATGGCGGACAACGACTGGTTCCGCCTCGAGTCCAACGCGGACGGCACCCGCTGGACCGGCACCTGCTGGTTCATCCACGAGCTGCTGCGTTACGACTTCCGGCTAGAGTTTGACATTCCGGTGACGTACCCGGACACCGCGCCTGAGGCCGCAATCCCGGAGCTGGACGGTAAGACCGCGAAGATGTACCGGGGCGGGAGAATCTGCCTGACTGACCACTTCGCGCCGCTGTGGGCCCGGAACGCGCCGCGTTTCGGCCTGGCGCACCTGATGGCGCTGGGGCTCGGGCCGTGGTTAGCCGTGGAGATCCCGGACCTGATCAGCAAGGGCCACGTCGTCCACCGGGAGCAGCAAGGCGGGGCCTCGGAGTGACGTCACCGGAACAGAACTTTGAATCCGTTCAGAGGAAGGAATGACGTGCGGAGATGAAATAAACTGGAATTTACTTCACCATGCGAGTGATTTCATGTTGGAACAAAATCAAACTCAAATTATCTTAAGTTAAAGAATGACGAGATAAACATGTAAATATAAATAAATTTGTTCTGTGAAAAGCGGAAACGCCGCAGTATGAGAATGTGTGAAGAGATCAAGTTACGTTCTTTTCCCATTCCAATCAGTCTGGATAATAAATTAGCAAAGTTTGATTCAAACTGATAATTATCTCTAAGCGATGAGCTAATAAGAGCCCCTGTAAAAATAACTAATGAAATACATCTTTCCGGTTTCTCTTAATTATAAATATCAATAAAATGTAGATTCGTCTTATTAAGATCCAAGTGAGTCAATGTGGTCAACCAGATGAATAAAAAGTCTGCGTCTTTGTTTTTATCCCCTTTTATTTGCAGTTTCAGTCAGGTTCTCTCTCAATAAACTTGGATAAGCTCCGCCCACTCCGCACGAGGCCACTCCCCATTCCGCTGCACGTTGCTAGGCGACGACTTCCAGTCCCAGCTCCTCACTGGGACGCTCCAGCTGGCGCCGTAGTTTGCGGTCACGTAGTCCAGCGTTTCACAGGGAACCCGAACTTTCAGGTCCAGAAGCTCCGCCCAGCACAGCGAGAACCGAGGGAAGATGTACCTGATGTACAAAACACAGAATACCTCGATTTCACATCCTCACACTGTTTACTGAGCAAAGGAATACATGTTGATGAAGAGAAAATGAACATTTACTTAAACTTCTTGCCACTCTTCGCCTGCGTTCCTCCGTTCCAAACGACGTCTCCGTCGCCATAGAAAAAGAAAATGTCCAGTTTCACGTCCTCACTCAAAAATGAAAGTTCCAGACTGTCCTCCACCTGCATCAAAATGCACGCGCACACCGTAAAATTAAATACACACCTATTTCTAGTGTGTTTCCAATATCATTTGAAACAGGAAGATATTGTTGAAAGAAAAAAAAAGTTTCACCTTTCCAAACTTGTGTTTGAGCGACAGTCCGGCGCTCCTGAACGCAGAAACGATGTCCGACCGGAAGTCCCCGATGAAGATGCCGATGTCGACGTCCCGACTGTACGAGATGACGCTGCACTGCCTGAACCAGCCTGTGGGGGGAGACACTGCGCGTCAGTCAAAAGGCAGCGACCTCACGTCCAGAAACAGATCTCACTTTTACACGACAGTTCGGATTGTCGTGTAAACTTGTGTCTTGTTTGATGTAAAAAGATCGGGTGCTTTGCAGCGGGTGAGCTTGAGTCAAAAGTCAGTTCTAAAACATTTTAGCGTTAGCATTTTACCCAGACAGGTGCCGCTGCTCAGCCAGAACGGGATGTCGAGCTGAGCGAGCGTTCGACCGGCCAAATGAAGCAACGACTTCACTTTCCTCCGGAAGTCCACCGCGTCTGGAGACACGTCATCTGGGTAGAGCTACAATCACACACGCCACGGAGACACAAAGAGGACTTTCATTGTCATGCATCTATGCCCCTCGCACAATAACAGCCCCGTTTCCTCGTCCGACCTGAAGGAAGTTCCGGGCGTCACGGTAACGGCACTCCAAGAATCGAGCCTGTCGCTGCTCGGAGAGGAAGCGGGAAATGTTACGCGGGATTCGAACATCGATGCCGTCCACGACCGTCAGAACCAGCTCCGGCCTGCAGGGGGCGGCAACACAAAACACAGGCGAGGTTTCACCTCATCGTAGAGAGACGCGTTAGGTGTTCTCCTCTGGATAATCCTCAAACAGCACGCGCCCCCTCAGGTCGGAACACAAACCTGTCGTAGGATCCAGGATGGCGTCCGTAGTCGAGTAGCTTGAAGGGAGCAAAGCTTCGGTCCACGTGGGCTTTGAGGCGGAGCTCCCCGTGCCAGAGGTAGTTCCCGCTTCGCTCATACAGGAACACCACCTGCGACAAAAAATGGATTCACATTACAAGAAAATACACAACAACATGGAAAAAATAAAACAGAAACCAAACAAAAAAAGTCCACCAAAGGGGACCACGTCAAAGATGGCTGCCGAAGTACAGTCACAGTAGCTGCTTCTTATTTGGTCGGCCGCCTCCTTCTGACACTCATTCATGGACCTTGTGTCACTTCGGCTGACCTGTTCGGTCGGCTCCTTCAATGCGGTCGAATCACAGCCCTCTGGGGGGCGATGTGGAGGACACATCTGTCCTCTGAGGCTCAGCATATCCCATCATGCAGACAATGGTTTAGTCTATTCAAGACGGAGACGGCTCAGCCGGCAGCGGGAGTTCGCTTTTAAATGTTAGTACTAGAATTCACCTGAATATGACATCACATCTTACGTGACTGTATTTCTAATGACGTGAGAAAAAACTGCACTTCCTCAATAAATCTGTTTGCTGTTGTGGTTTTAACGGACAGTTTTCCTTAATTAGCAGGAAGTTCCTCGTGGGACAGACCGACCACCTGGTTCAGCCTAATGGGTCGTTGGAGGACTCTGTCCTCATGAGGATGCAGCCCACCAAATGAGACACAGCTAATGTGTTGCTATGGGCGTCCACCATTGACGTGGCCCTCACTCACCTGTATGATGTGACCGTGGAGGCGGAACAGGAAGTGGAGGGGGATCTCCTCTCCTGATAGGTTGTCCAGACTGGCCAATCGCGGGTCCTGTCCCCGCAGCTCCAGAAGCTCAAAGCCTTTCTGCTTGGCGGCTAATAGGAAGCCGGGCTTTAAGACAACAACAATTTGATAACAAAAATTCAAATTTTACTGGAAAAGAGAAGGTCATAATACACATTCCACTTATGGATGATTTCCGTTGTCATCCAACTCCAGGGGTTTTCTTTCTAATTACAGGTCCATATTCGTCGTACGCTTGCATTAATATTTGCAGCTCAACAGGGGTGAATATATATTGTTTGTGGTGGTTGTCATGGTAACTCGTATCATGGCTCCATTCATGCTGCCTTCATACTGTGGTGGTGCACGGGCTCAACTCTGCGTCATCTACTCAGAGTTGATTGAACCGACTAAACCAGTGACGTGCAGGCAGGGTAGGCACTGCACTACATAACCAAATACAAAGAAATGGCTTTTACCGTCCATTCACTGTGGACGACAAGCAAAAAACCCATGTTGCACATGCGCACCTCGATCCTGTATTCTACACGTACGTCAAAAAGCACAACTCTGCTGTGCCTTTGCACGTAAATAGGTTATGCTAGTAATCATCTACGTTACGTATCAAACACGGACGTCACTACGCCGGCTGCGCTGTAAATGTAATGCCCGCCAAATTCAAAAGTCAAAATGACGGCCGTGTTCGTTGATATCACCGATCTGAGACGAGTTTACAACGCTGTGATTGACGTCTTCATGAGGAAAGAGCGGTGGATGAATTTTATGTACAAATAATCAACTGATCGGTGAGTCAAACTATTTCGTGCTTAATATTGGATTGATAAGTGTGGTGGAAGCCATTTGCCTTCATATTCAGCAGTGTGTGTTTACATTGATGCTGACTGACAAACATAACTGGCCGCTGTGCAATAATTAAGCAATAATGTCCGAGAGGCCGAACTTTGTCATCAATAATGTTACAATCGGTTGTGAAAGCCAATGTCCGCACTGCCCCAAACGGACGCTGTTCCCGGCCTTTTTTTTTTTCGGCGATCGCCACCAAATCAAGTAATAACTGCTGGTGTGTGTGTGTGTGTGTGTGTGTGTGTGTGTGACAGAGAAAGATTTATTTAGCTGACGCTTTTATCCAAAGCGACTTACTGATGTCACTGCTCTAAACAGCTGTTCTGAAACCCAAAACTCAGTTTCCCATCTCAGGGTAAATCAACTCAGTTTAGGGTTTGACTCAGAGTTTGTTAAACCTCCTATATAAAAACGAACCCAAGATGAGCGGTCATCCGTCGGTAAATGTGAGCCAGTTAGCCGATTTCTGTTTCATATCAGAATGATTGGCTAGGATAGTCTGCATCAGGAGGCTGTCAGATTCACGCAAGCTAGGTAGCTAGTGTTGAGTGGTTAGTTCAGTGTCTATTAATTAACGTCACACTCTCACCTCGTACTTCCACAGGTTGGCGTGCAGAGCAAAGGACGTGACCGGACGGCCGGTGCATAGGAAGCTGCAGTGCGGCTCATGCACAAGCCGGTCACGCTGCCGCAATGAATCTTGGGAGAGCAGCGTTAGGGCGGCTGTGTCGGCGAGGAACAGCGGTAACCCGAAGTGCCGAGCTAATCCCAAAAACTTCTTCACTGTTTGCTGCAGGGACCAGACAGACATTGGCAGTGACTAAACTGCTAACAATAATGCTGAAAATCATGTTAGCAGTAGGATAACACTAATGCTAACAGGAACATTAACAGTGAGGCTAACCATAAGGATAAGGGTCTAACTGTGATCGGAACAGCAAGGCTATCCACGAATACTGGCTGGGCTAAATCTAATGCTAACAACAGTAACAATAAAAATACTAATGCGGACAGTTATGTTAACAGTGATGCTAACACTAACAGTGAGGCTAGCAGCGAGGCTAACACCAATGCTGACAGCCATGCTCACAGTAAGGCTAGCCTTAAGGCTAAAACGAGTGCTAACAGTGATCACAACAAGGGTACAAACATTACTGAGGCTAACATCAAGGCAAACACTAATGCTGACAGTTATGTCAACCGTGAGGCTAACACTTGCAGTGAGGCTAGCCTTAAGGATACAACTAGTGCTAACAGTGATCACAACAAGGGTACAAAGATTACTACTGAGGCTAACATCAAGGCTAACACTAAGGCTGACAGTTATGTCAACAGTGAGGCGAACACTAACAGTGAAGCTAACAGCGAGGCTAACACTAATGCTAACATGGATGTTAACTGTAAGGCTAACCTTAAGGATACAACTAGTGCCAACAGTAATTGTAACAGCAAGGCTACCACGAATACTAACCGTGAGGCTAGATATAATGCTAACATTCCTAGCCTCACTAAGGCTAATGCTGAAAGTTAACGTTATGCTAACAGCGACGCTGACTCACCCATTGGATGTCGTTTGCGGTGAGGTGACCGGTTCGACTCAGGATGTAAGGACCTTGCTGCAGAAGAAACGCATGCTGGGAGATTTGATTACTTGATATACAAGTTATAAAAAAGCAGTTTCTTTCCTAAAAGCTAACATGTTGCGTTTAGGAATGCAACTGCTGTTGTAATATTAATATTGTGTCATACTACCTTTCACAATATTTACGTATTAGCTTTTACGTTATTTAACTTAACTTAACATTACGTATCGTATCACAATATTACACTTGACAAATAGTTGTATTCTACAATTTTAGCTTTTAACAATTTATTTCATCTTAGTCTTCGTTGTATTGACATTGAATATTGCTTTATTTATTTATAACCTTTAAATACTGTTATTTATTACGATAGTTTCTGTTGCAACCTGCATTTCGTTGCTCTGTACTTGTACATGTGTAATGACAATTAAGTTGAATGTAATCTAATGTAATCTAATAACATTGATATCACATAACGTTAGAGTTCAGTGTCAATGATCGTTTTGTAACAATTCACTATGGCTGACTTATTGATTATTCAATCAGCTTATTGATGGAAGTGATTAGTTCCTTGTTGCTGTAAGTCATACCTATGGTTTTAGTGTCTCACCTTGCTGACGTACTTCCGGTAGTAATGTAACTGGAACAGCAGAAACACGGAGCTGGTGATGATCAGCAGCGTTAAAACGGTCGTCCGGTTCACGCGAGGCATCCGGTAACACTGCACGGTGACCGGCTTCTCATGACACCCAAACCAGGGCTCCTAGGTCGTGATTGACCGCGGCTAAACCGTGAAACGGCGCAAGAAACACTGAGCTGGTCGCAGCGTCAGGAACCGGCTCCATCTTGAAAACAATCGTTACCGTCTAGAACCTTCAAGGTAAAAGCCAGGGAAAACGGTTTTTAGCGGAGTTGCGGAAGTGAGAGAACGACTTCCCTGTCCCTTCACAATAAAAGTCCGTGTCGACCAAGAAGCCGACAATACGTCGATATCTTAACTAGTGATACTTTAACGATACGAAGCAACAGTAGATGTTTGTTTTACTTCGGTTACTCTTACTACTGATTCTTCAACCGTATGAAGTTATAGGGCATGTGTACTTTTAATTTGTACATTGCTAAACTCTAACTACGTATCGTTGAGAATACTTGTGTGTTTTTACTATTGATACTTTTTAAGTGTATAAGGGTGAGTATGTGAGAAGTGTGTACTTTTAGTACTGATACTTTGCCGGACATGGACCCAAGGATGCGTGTGTACATTTAGTACTGATACTTGATACCACATACGAGTTATATTACGAATACTATTTACAGTAACGTTCCATTACTCGCTGCCAAAGAAGATATCGCATTAACTTTTCGGCGGATTACTTCTGCAACACTCACTCACACAACACAACCAAGATGCGGACCGCTGTGCGAGCAGTTTCTCCACAACAAAAAGGCCGAGTTAAACTTCTCCTGGACTTTGTGAAACACTTTCCCCGCAGTGACCGGAGACATGAGCGGCCTCCGCCGCGTCTGACGGCCGCTTAACGGCCGCCCGAGTTCCCCGGGGATGTTCCGCGAGACCTGAGGCGGACTTTGGTCGTTTCACAGCGAATTCGGGACGGTAAGAACGGCCGTGCTGTTAGCTTAGCATCACGCTAACCGTTTGTTTTGGTTGGGCGGTCGGACGGGACGGGGACAGACCGGGAGACGGTGGCCGGAGGGCGGTGTGTCGGGAACCGGCGATCGGCCGGTATATCCGGACGTGTCCGGGGCGGGTGGAGATGCGGTAGCCGCCCGGTGTCGACCGTGATGTACAGTGTTGAGCTAACGGCTAACAGGGCTAATGCTATTGTCACATATGATTCACAGAAACGCTGCAACGTCACCGTACTACTACAGTACTACTACAGTACTACTACAGTACAGGAGGACCACTGTGCTGCTATTACGAAGTACCCATTGCCACTGTATAATACGTACTATTACAACCTGTATGACTGCAGTATTCGGCTTTCTGCTACTCTACTACTGTTGCAGTACTTATTCCCCCTGGACAGTATAAGTACGTTTTGCTTCTGTATGATATGTACTACTACAGCACTGTTGCAGTAAAAGACTTGCTGATAATGTACAGAAGTACCACTATAATAAGTATTGCTTCATTTAATATTAGATATTTCCATAGAACTACTGCAGTATTACTATAGTACTACTTAATGTGACTACAGGAGTACCACCACACAACTACGACGGACTGCTTACTGCTGCTGTACACTAAGTACTAGAAACGTTTTACCACAGTACAACTGCAGTATTTGTGTTATTCTTCTACCATACTACATAAATACCGCTCCTTGCTACTCAACAGTACTTCCAGAGAAGTACTATAGTAATACTGATGCGTTACTGCTCATGTTTATGATCATGTCCATGAGGAAAGTAAAGTTACCCGTTATCACGGTTAGTAGTTTACTATATGTACCACTACTACTACTACTAGTACTAGTACTAGTGGTGGCGACGGTGACGTTTGTGGAGATCTCCCTCCATGAATCAGAGGCCATCCGGCGTCCTCATAGTCCGCCAATGACGGCTTGTACAAGCGCTCATATTTAAAAGCTCTTCAATCTGATCCGTTCTCTCGTAAACGTTCTTCCTTTTAATAACGGCCGTATTGTGCTGTGAAAACGGAGACGTGAGACTCCGTAAAGGACGTAGTCAGAGACCAATCACAGCCTGGTGCTGCAGGACGCTGCAGTCGCTTTAGACGCTAGTCTAGAAAAATGGGTCGACGCACACAAGGAGGAGTGAAGAGACACGCAAGGGACACGCAAGGGACTCTTGCGTGTGCGTGTCCCTTGCGTGTCTCTTAAAGCGGACAACAAATGGATAGAAGGATCATTGAAAACCAGCTGTTGTAATCAACAACAATATGCATCATCAGTCGCTGCTGAGTCGTCCTGAGCGTGACTCCTTGTAACTGAATGATGCTCGTTACCACAAAATCCGCCTCGCGCTGAGATCAGGGGGCTGTTGCACAAAAGTAGAATAAAGAAATCCAGGATGAGTGAAAAGCGCAGCTTGACTTAGTTTGATCTTAATCGCTTGCTGAGCCGGGATGAGGGGGAGGAGTTGAGTCAATCCAGGTGCACACATCTGGGATCAGTCCTCGGCTTTCTTAAGAAGACCACGGTGTCCGTCACAGGTCTGCTGATGCACAGATGGAGGAGACGCGCGCGGCACGTTTTTAACCCGCCGAGCAGCAACTGATGGTGGAAACTTATGAGCAGGTGAAGCCTCTAATATGACAAAAGGGGGAATACGGCTGCTTTTATTAAACAGAGAAAAGTCTGTCAGACTATCGCAGAGCGACGGAATGTGGAAGCATTTAAAAATATCTACTTACAGGAAAGTTTAAGACTGTTTTAGTTGCTTTTAATGATTGATGTGTTGGTTTTATTGTTGTTTATGTGCTGAATGTGGTTTCTGTTTTTACTGTAAAGTGTCTTTGAGACCATGTAAACACTCTATAAATATAATGTATTATTATTTATCCTACTTTGCCTTAAAGTGAACAGAGGGAGTTAATGTTCCTCTGGAAATCGACCCTAAAGACTCATTTCAGATGAATAAGAATGTTTCACAGCCACAAATCTCTATTCGCTGTGTCTAATTCTAAATATCTTCCTACAATTAATGTTCATACAGAACAAACAGGAAAAGATCCTGTCAACAGGTCAAGATAAAATATAAAAACCGTTTGCAGACGGTGTAGAAACGACCCCCCGTTATTTCAACGTGTTTATTGTCCTTCTTGCGGTCTGCGAAATATTGTCTGACATGAAAACGGTACAAAGGTTGTGGACGCTGAACAACTGCAATAGTAGAGCTTAAAATCAACCTGGTGACGGTAATAGTGACAAGCAATGCATGTCAATGGAAATAAATCCGAACATTCGGAATAACTGTTGAATGACTGCTGGCTTGGATGTTGGTTACCGCGGCGACGGCTGGCAGCATGTGGGTCGGCCTTCAGGGGGCCTCGTTGAAAGAAGGGTTCTTCTCCTCGGGGAGGCTGAGTATTTGTTCGTCGGGTTCGCTGTTTGTTTTTTTGATTTTGGGGGATTTGTGTATTTTGGTGCACTTTTGTGTTTCTGATAATGAAATATAGTTTGAGGGAGACGTCCTGTGGTTCGTCGGCAAAGTGAAGAAGTTTAGGAACGTTGTTTCATCTCTGGTTTGAGTCTTATTTCAAAATAAAGTTCTGCTTCACTGTGGAAGCAGTAAGTTTAATGTCTTTGATAATTTAGTTTTATAGAATTTGAAAAAAGCTACGAACTATTTAATCAACTTGTTTTACCGATGTTAGAAAAACACAATTAAAGCTCCACATGTTCTATTGAAGTATGAATATTAAATTATTCACATATTTACAGCCTCTGATCAGATTCTCTCTGGTTTAGGGTCACGTGACTGCTGCTCTCAGATGTGTCAATCACTAAATTTAAATGTATTTTATTTCATCAGCCATCTGATAAAATAAAAACTTGCGGATGGTAAAAAATATCCCAGCTGATAGTCTGTCATTTCTGAGTAGATATGTGGTGTGTGTGAGTGTGTGTACATATATTTGTATGTATGGACACACGATATCGATCAGAGGACACTGACATTAATACATGAGTGTGTGTGTGTGTGTGTGTGTGTGTGTGTCCCAGACTGCCTGCAGCAACTGCTGCAAAGCATTCTGGGAGCAGCAGGAGGAGGGAGGAGAGGCAGCCTCCTCTCCTCTTACCCCCCCCCTCCCCCTACTGTCCCTGCCTGCCGATTGGCTGCCGATTGGCCCAGCTGACTGCTCTCTGTCAGACAGACAGACGGACAGAGAGAGACGGGGAGGTGATGGAGGCTGCAGCGATGGGGTGAGCTGCCATTTTCTGTTCCTCGATCCACAAACCCGTCTTCCTTCCTTCATCCGTCCTCTGACTGTTTCCTTTTCATGTCAGAGGATTATTGAGAGAAGGGGGGAGGACAGAGGGGGGACAGGGGGGTAGAGAGGGGGGAGGACAGAGGGGGGAGGACAGAGGGGGGGGGGGGGTAAGCGGGAGGTTGTTCTTTGCTTCTCATTGTCTGTTGCTGCTGGTTTGTGTGTGTGTGTGTGTGTGTGTGTTCTTTGGTGTATTTGATGCCTGCGTTCCCTCTAACGGGGGAGAGAGGGAGGACGGGTGGAGCGGGGAGGCAGGGATGGGAGAGAAAATGGCCGACCGGTGATGGAGGCAGAGGGAGGAAATGAAAGAAGGGTGGAGGTGGGGATGAGAGGAGCTGGTTTCTATTGTGTCCTTTGTTCCAGCTGATCGCACACCACAACGCTGTTATTGATTACGTATTGATGATCGAAGAGTAGTACTCTCTAGAGGACATGGAGTACTCTGTAGAGGGCACGTAGTACTGTATATGACATGTAGTACCGTGTATATGATGCGTAGTACTGTATATATTACATCTGGTTCTGTGTGTATGACGTGAAGTATTGTGTAGTTCAGTGTGTGCGCGTGTGTTGTAACCAGTTGGTGAATCATGTGACAATAAAACAGTGACATCAGTGTTTGTAGCTGAGAGGAAACATCACATGATGCTGAGACACACACACACACACACACACACAGGTTCTCTTTAATTAACGCAGGCAGAGGAAATACTCGTTGTATCTTCCTGGAGGCTCTGAGGTTCGCGTTCCTTCGTCCTTATTGGCCCGACGGGCGTCACCTGTCCCTCAGCTGACGAGCCGATTGGCTCCACAGTGACTCTGTGGTTCAGTTCATCTCTAGATGTATTTATGGGTCACGCCGAGTGATCCGAGCGCTGCTAAGCTAACGGCAACCTAACCATTAGCCAGCAAGTACTACTGCAGTACTCCGTCCTTACTGTACACAAGGGCTCGAGTACTACTGCAGTACTACGTCCTCACTGTACACCAGGGCTCGAGTACTACTGCAGTACTACGTCCTCACTGTACACCAGGGCTCGAGTACTACTGCAGTACTACGTCCTCACTGTACACCAGGGCTCGAGTACTACTGCAGTACTACATTGTCCTGCTTGTCCCTGCAGGTCACAGCTGGGGTCTCCAGCATGGCGGCAGCGTCTTACGACCAGCTGCTGAGACAGGTGGAGGTGCTGAAGATGGAGAACTCCAACTTGAGACAGGAGCTGCAGGACAACTCCAACCACCTGACTCAGCTGGAGAGCGAGGCGTCCAACATGAAGGTCAGTACACAGGGTCTCACACTGCACACGGTACTACTCAGATACTGGCCAAAGTACTGCTGACATTTGAGTTCAGTAATAATTAGTTTTGTTAATATTACTTGTGTGCAGGAAGATAAACTCGGTGTCTCTGTCGTAGACGTCGGTCCCTCGTTGGCAGTGAGACGTTTGTTAGTTTGAGCATCTCTGTTTAGTCACAGAGGACGAGGTGTCTTTGGTCTCTGCTCTTCTGCTCTTGTGTTGTTTGGGGTTTTTAATTCATCACATGTTCAGAGGATTATTTTACTTATTATTATTATTATTATTAGGATATACTTTTCTTTGGTTAATTTATTTAATTTCATGTTTTCTCTTTTTCTTTACACGTATCTACGTTTTTTTTTTAGTTTTCTGCTATAATATTTTTTTATTTTCATAATTATATTTATTCTGACTGTAGTTCATATCCAACTTCTTTTATTATTATTCGTTTTTTCATTCGTTCTGAATCTCTTCGTCTTATTTTCTCGTCCGTCTGTTTTCTTCGTAGTTCTATTGTTCTTTATTGTGGCTCCTTCCTCTCCAAACTCTCGCTCACTTCCCGTTTCCCGTTTCCTGTTTCCTGTTTACTGTCGATGAGCAGAAAACACACAGATGGACAGTGTGAGTCGCGTTAGTTTCCATCATGTCGCTGTATGAACGCTGCCGCTTCATCGTGGTGAGTCGAGACACAACGACGCTGCTGGGCGAGAGACAGACGGAGAGAGAGGGAGAGCGTTGTGAATCTGTGTGTTATTCAGGGATCAGGACACGTTTATTACCAAAATATGTCCGACATACGAGGAATTTGACTTGGCGGTTGGTGAACAACGGACGACAAGACCGAGAAGACGACTGCAGGAGGAATAAGATGAAATATGATGCTGTGTGTTCGTTTAAAACTAGAGGAATAAAAGTTAAAACATGTTAAAAAGTAAAGTGACGGGTCAAAGTGCACGTGTGCAGCGACCGGCCTGTTGACGAGGTCTCGGTCCTGATGGACCTCAGCCTCCTGCAGGACGGAAGGAGTTTTAGCTGCTTCAGGGTCCTGGAGGTCTTTTCACAATATCTTTCATTTAACACTCGTCGTGTCATCCGGCTCGAGCTCGGCTGTCGGCAGACTAGAAGCACACTGTGATTTACCTTTTATTTTCTTAACTCGTGTAAAACAGGAAGTGCTGAAGCAGCTGCAGGGCACCATAGAAGAAGAGTCCGGGGAGGCGTCTGGCTCTCAGCTGGAGCTCATCGAAAGACTGAAAGGTGAACAAATGACGTGTATGTGTATTAATGTGTATTAGTTAACACCCGGACACCGGGTCCGTGAGTGGTGTAAATAATCGGCTCAGGCACCGAGATCTGCGTTTCGGTCCGGTAGGTTCCAGTCAGGTAGGAACCGGTACCAATGAGTCGGCGGTTCTCGGTACCCAACGCTAATGTTTACCTCCGTCTCTCCTCCAGAGATGAGCCTGGAGTCTGCGGGGTTTAAGCCCAGGTCGAGGCCTCCTCTTCCCCTCTCGTCCTCCTCCAGCTCAGCCTCCTCTGGCTCCGGAGCTCCTGGAGGAGCAGCCGGAGGATCCAAAGCTGCAGGCCCCTCCACGACCACCGGCCTCCCCAGGAGAGGCCCACCGCCGGCGGGCAGGGACCAGGAGCGCTGCCTGGAGGAGCTGGAGAAGGAGAGGTACTGCTGAGTAATATTAGTACTACTACTCCAAATACTGGTTGGTTTACTGCTGCCACAAATGCTATTTGCAATACTTAGTTACACAAACTGTAGTTTGGTAGTAGTTTGCTGCTGTTGCAGTACTAGTACAGATAGTACTACTATCGCTGAAGGAAGCAGCACTGTCGTGAGTACTAACTGACCTTTTCATTGAGTTTCTTATTGACATTCAGAGAAATAAGGAACCAGGAAACATTTATTGCCATAATATATCAGACATACAAGGAATGTGACTCTGCGGTTGGTGCGTAACAGACGTCAAGACAACTGGAGTTGTTTCCTCAGATGTTCAGCAGCTCATCTGGTCAAAGAGCTCCGGGAATCACAACAGGAAACGCAATTAACAAAAAACGCCCATCGTCGGCGCCATCTTGTGTGCCCCCCCCCCCTTCCTCTGAATCTCTGCTCTGTCATTGGCTGCTGGCAGGTGTCTCCTGTTGGCTGAGCTGGAGAAGGAGGAGAAGGAGAAGGACTGGTACTACGCTCAGCTGCAGAACCTCACCAAGAGGATCGACAGTCTGCCACTCACCGAGAATGTGAGTACTTTGTAACTGTACACATCGATAAAAACTACAATACCCATAAGCCCCAGCCGCTCTGCTGAGGCGCCGTGTGACGAGAGTTTGCGCTTCAGTTCACCCTGCAGACGGACATGAGTCGGCGTCAGCTGGAGTTCGAGGCCCGTCAGATCCGCTCTGCGATGGAGGAGCAGCTGGGCTCCTGTCAGGAGATGGAGAGGAGAGCTCAGGTGAGGTCTCACCTGGAGGCTGTTACACCTGTTACACCTGTTTGACCCCCGACCTCAGCATGTGACCTCTGTGTGTGCGCTTCTTCAGGACCGTGTGTCTCGTATTCAGCAGATCGATAAGGACATCCTGCGGCTGGGAGCACGATTGCAGGTAAACCTGTTCATTTCAATCATCATAATATTCATTTGATGTTGTTGTAGTCCTCCACATAATCTCTCTCCATCCAGGTGGAGGAGCGTCAGGGGGCGACCGACAGCATCGGGTTGTCCTCCGCTCAGGTGATTGTCCTTCTTGTTCTTACTCGTCTTCGTGACTTTGGGTCTGTCCGTTATTTAAATCTCTTTTTGACCTTGTTGTTTTTCTTCCTCCTCCAGAGCTCCAGCATCCAGTTGGACCACGAGGCAGCCAATGAGACGAGCTACTCTGTGCCTCGACGAATCACCAGCCACCTCGGCACCAAGGTCAGTCAGCCCCGACCGCTCCGTCGCCCCTACGGGGGGAGATGGTGTATAAACCGCTCTGTCGCCCCCTACGGGTGGAGATGGTGTATTAACCGCTCTGTCGCCCCCTACGGGGGGAGATGGTGTATAAACCGCTCCGTCCGCCCCTACCGGGGGAGATTGTGTATAAAACCGCTCTGTCGCCCCCTCCGGGGGGAGAAAGGGGTATATAACCGCCCCTGCCGCCCCTCCCGGGGGGAGAATGGGGTTTTAAAAGCTCCTTGCGTGGCTAAGGGGGGGAGAAGGTGTGTTAAAAAACTCTTGTTGGCTTCTTATAGGGGGAGAAAGGGTGTATAAAAACTTCTCTTCGCGTCCTTCTGGGGGGAAAAGGGGGTTATACAGCCGTTGTCCCCCCCCCGCGGGGAGAAGGGGGGTAAAAGCCCCTTTTCGCCGCTACCAGAGGGAGAAGGTGTGGTATAACCTCGTTTGCGCCCCCCCAGGGGGAGAAAGGGGGTATAAACCCTCTTTTCCCCCCCCC